CTGGTGGTTGTCCTGGGGCGCTGGTGGTTGTCCTGGGGCGCTGGTGGTTGTTCTAGGGTGCTGATGGTTGTCCTGGGGCGCTGGTGGTTGTCCTGGGGCGCTGATGGTTGTCTTGGGGCGCTGGTGGTTGTCCTGGGGCGCTGGTGGTTGTCCTGGGGCGCTGGTGGTTGTCCTGGGGCGCTGGTGGTTGTCCTGGGGCGCTGGTGGTTGTCCTGGGGCGCTGGTGGTTGTCCTGGGATGCTGGTGGTTGTTCTAGGGTGCTGATGGTTGTCCTGGGGCGCTGGTGGTTGTCCTGGGGCGCTGGTGGTTGTCCTGGGGCGCTGGTGGTTGTCTTGGGGCGCTGGTGGTTGTCCTGGGGCGCTGGTGGTTGTCTTGGGGCGCTGGTGGTTGTCCTGGGGCGCTGGTGGTTGTCCTGGGGCGCTGGTGGTTGTCTTGGGGCGCTGGTGGTTGTCTTGGGGTGCTGGTGGTTGTCCTGGGGCGTTGGTGGTTGTCTTGGGGCGCTGGTGGTTGTCTTGGGGTGCTGGTGGTTGTTCTAGGGTGCTGATGGTTGACCTATTTCGTCGCTAAACGTATATGTTAGATATAGTTTAGGCTATATCAATAGAAAATAATTTGAAAAAATGTATGTGATGGGAAAAATTCAAATGACGATTATTTCATAACAAGTGAAGCTCTGTTGAAGTATAATAGCAGTCTCCGTGGTGTAGTGGTAAGACACTCGCCTGGCGTTCCGCGAGCGCTATGTCATGGGTTCGTATCCTGGCCGGGGAGGATTTACTGGGCGCAATTCCTTAACTGTAGCCTCTGTTTAACGCAACAGTAAAATGTGTACTTGGATGAAAAAACGATTCTTCGCGGCAGGGGATCGTATTCCAGGGACCCTTAGGATTAAGGACTTGCCCGAAACGCTACGCGTACTAGTGGCTGTACAAGAATGTAGCAACTCTTGTATATATCTCAAAAAAAAAATAAATAAAAATAAAATAATTGCGGACAGGATTTTTTAAATCCCATAAAAATAACTTTTAGGGTGCCGCCGCCTCCACGAATACTCTTGCGCCTATTCACATACAGCCTATGTTTCAAATGTGTTTTGTTTATAAAAAAAAATGGACGCTTTCGGGTCCTAAGCATTTGGCTGTCAACTGCGTCAATCATTTTAATATTTATTAGGCAATAGATGAAGCTCTTATGTTAATGGGTTGCAGTATTTCCAATGTGTTTCACAATTTCTCCCGCTTTGTTAAATCTTAGTTTGTAATCTGAAATCTGTTTGTCTGCGAGCAACATTACGCGTCGAACTGATCTTTCCCAAACTCGTTGTCATCTGTCATTTGTTAAATAGCCTAAGGTTCACCTCCCCTCCCCCCCAATCCCACCACTTTCATTAAACACTTTCATCTTGGTCTGTCATTCGTATGAACAAGATTATATGTGTGGAAGGGTTTCATGGCACTTTACCACCTCATCATCAAGTAGTAGTATGCTATTTGTAGTTGTAAGTGTGAAGGATACACGATATTTAGTTGAGTAATTTCTTAAAGCACATAGTTTGCTACTATAAATAAATTTGATGCTAGGCTTTTTCTCAAACGCGATAGGCCTGTATGAGGTATTCTGCTTCGGTTGTTACAAGGAGGCCAGAACCTGATCGCTGTTTTGTGACAAACACAGTATGCCTAAATCTAATACTCTGCTTTGGTTATTATAAATATATTCGACAATGTTTCGGTATAGGCCTACATATGTGTTACAAATCAAGACCACAGACATCTAGAATTTGTGTAGGACCTACTAAACGCTAGTCTAGTGTTAAGCCACAGTACTAACACCTATTAACAATGCTTAATAAATCTCATTTCCACTCTATGCATATAAAATAGAAAAGAAAAAAAAATACATTCAATCATAACATTTCGGAAAATAAATTATCAGTATTATCATTACTGTATTACCGTTACTGAACGGTGATACTGTTGACAGGAAGGGAACTATGAGGAGAAAGCCCCAAGCCATTACGACTATATAGCGTTATACTGTTGAAATAAAACAGAACTGTCGGCCGGAACGGTACTGGCAACTCACGAGGCTTCAGGTGTCATTGTATTTATTAAGCCTTTCATTTTCAAATTACATTGCCTACAGACTATGGCGAACCGACATGCGTTTTCTTATCTGTGGGTCAGGTAATGGCAACATGCATTGATTACCAAAGTTGCTATCTAATTTATTTATATTATTTTGTCTTAGATGGGGCTGGACTGTGTTGTGTAAGATGGGGCTGGACTGTGTTGTGTTAGATGGGGCTGGACTGTGTTGTGTAAGATGGGGCTGGACTGTGTTGTGTTAGATGGGGCTGGACTGTGTTGTGTTAGATGGGGCTGGACTGTGTTGTGTAAGATGGGGCTGGACTGTGTTATGTTAGATGGGGCTGGACTGTGTTGTGTTAGATGGGGCTGGACTGTGTTGTGTAAGATGGGGCTGGACTGTGTTGTGTAAGATGGGGCTGGACTGTGTTGTGTAAGATGGGGCTGGACTGTGTTGTGTTAGATGGGGCTGGACTGTGTTGTGTAAGATGGGGCTGGACTGTGTTATGTTAGATGGGGCTGGACTGTGCTATGTTAGATGGGGCTGGACTGTGTTGTGTAAGATGGGGCTGGACTGTGTTGTGTTAGATGGGGCTGGACTGTGTTGTGTTAGATGGGGCTGGACTGTGTTGTGTAAGATGGGGCTGGACTGTGTTGTGTAAGATGGGGCTGGACTGTGTTGTGTTAGATGGGGCTGGACTGTGTTGTGTTAGATGGGGCTGGACTGTGTTGTGTTAGATGAGGCTGGACTGTGTTGTGTAAGATGGGGCTGGACTGTGTTGTGTTAGATGGGGCTGGACTGTGTTGTGTTAGATGGGGCTGGACTATGTTGTGTTAAATGTGACGTCCCAGATACTGAAAGACCGTGTCGTGTTAGTGTAGGAAGTATCAAAAGAAGCCACCAAGCACAGGAGACTATGTAACTTCCATCTTAAAGATAAAAAAAATGCAACACGGAATATATAACTTGCCCTGACATGTAATGTAACTTGCCCTGATATACATCCACGACTACGAGGCTACAATATTTAGGTTTGTTTTGACTTCGAGACAGATGTTTTGATTACGAGACAGCTATTTTAAATACGAGACATGTTTTAAAAACGAGACAGATGTTTTGACTACGAGACATGTTTTGACTACGAGACAGCTGTTTTGACTACGAGACAGCTGTTTTGACTACGAGACAGATGTTTTGACTACGAGACATGTTTTGACTACGAGACAGATGTTTTGACTACGAGACAGCTGTTTTGACTACGAGACAGATGTTTTGACTACGAGACAGATGTTTTGACTACGAGACAGATGTTTTGACTACGAGACAGATGTTTTGACTACGAGACAGATGTTTTGACTACGAGACAGATGTTTTGACTACGAGACAGATGTTTTAAATACGAGACAGATGTTTTAAAAACGAGACAGATGTTTTGACTACGAGACAGATGTTTTGACTACGAGACAGATGTTTTGACTACGAGACAGCTGTTTTAACTACGAGACTAGTGTTATGACTATGAGACAGCTGTTTTGACTACGAGACAGATGTTTTGACTACGAGACAGCTGTTTTGACTACGAGACAGCTGTTTTGACTACGAGACAGCTGTTTTAACTACGAGACAGATGTTTTGACTACGAGACAGCTGTTTTGACTACGAGACAGCTGTTTTGACTACGAGACAGATGTTTTGACTACGAGACAGATGTTTTGACTACGAGACAGATGTTTTGACTACGAGACAGTTGTTTTGCCTACGAGATAGACGTACGATTTTTTAGGGCAACTATTATCAGTTAAATCTTATACCTTTTATCTCGATGGTTTAAAATCTGCGGTAAAGCTTTTTTTATATAACTCAAAAGTTGATATTTGTATATTTATTTAGTTTTAAAACTAAATCAAACAAAGGATGATATTTATTATGCGAGTGCTGAAGACGAGAGACTGTAGTGATTGGACGTTAATTGACATTTTGGACATTGGGCAGCGTAAGTCCTCAACCCAACGAGATGTTCCACACAACAGGCCAGGAACTAGCCAACACTGTCTACAGTCCTAGAAGCGACTATGAGGATTATTTCCATGGATACAACTCTTCCATTCACTGCTGTCTCCCTCTCTCTCTGTACACCAGTGATCATAGTCGCCGTATCCAAGACAAACGTAAGCGCTTACTCTCTCGCAAAATCAACTTAGCGCTGACAATCCTGTAACTGTATTTATTCAGGAGAAATTTCAACGCTCAAGCAAGGAGTGACCCAGGCAGCTCTGCTCTCTCTCTTTCTCTCTCCCTCCCTCTCTCTCTCTCTCTCTCTCTCTCTCTCTCTCTCTCTCTCTCTCTCTCTCTCTCTCTCTCTCTCTCTCTCTCTCTCTCTCTTCCCTCCCACTCCGGGGTTGCTGTACCTGCCACCTCACCCACATCTTCAGTATTATCCCTTCTTTACAAGTCATTGTTTTCATACTTGTTTACGGGCTATTCATGCCTGTGCCACCGCTTGGGTAGCTTCATCTTCATCTTTCTTCATACTTGCTCGCACATCTCCTGTGCCAGGTGAGTATGACGGGCTCACCATAGCCCGTGCTGCTTGGAACTTGTCATTCCAATTAGCTGCATCTAAAACAACAACAACATGCTTGCTGCCCCACCACGCTACGACCACGAAATGACCAAATGAAAACTTGTCATTTTTAAATTATATACGTAAAGCACTCCCTGCCGGTGACATTTCGAATGTAATAAAATGTGCTCTATTATCTCTCATTTAATATAGAAATTGCAATACTTTAACCGATACGGTAGATGCATATTTGTGTTACCCCGAGTGCTCAGTGCCAGAGTAATATTGTCCCCAAGCGGTTAAATAATTAATATAGGCTGCTGTGCGCTGGACACCGTCCTCAACTTACCCAGGTCCGCGTTCCTCGGAACTTTTTCTGATATTTTTATTGATATCCTTCTGCAGTAAATATTCCTCCTTGACAACACACGAGACAAAAAGCAATGCACTGTCAACTAGCATAGATTGGTCTTGCTGTCATTACCGTAACACACTGGAGGGGTTCGAACGACACGAATGATCACTCCTCACAACGCCGCTAACACCCACACTCGACCACAGTTTCATACGCACTGCCCGAGCTGCTGTGCTCGTGGCTCCTGAGACTTTCACGTTGAGGATTCTTTCCATCTCCCGCCAACCACCAGCGCCATCTCTTGCCAGACCCACACACCTCAACCTATATATCCCCACTCCAAATACTTTTCTAACCAAAAGCTTTATAATATATCATACGAATCCTCTTGATAATGTAACTATAAGATATTTTGAAGATGAATTGAACCCGGGACATAAGCTAGCTGAGAGGAGACACAACCGAGCAGCATTAGGAAGAACTCAAGATATTTAAGATGGGCTGGAGATTAATCTCCCGCCTGAGAGATATCCTTTTAATATCTTAAAAGCTTCCAAGCGAAAACGACAGAATTCCTTTAGCGAGGGGTCGTCGCATACCGCTGGAGCTGTCCAACTTGGCGCCCGGCAGATGGGTCTTCAGATAGCTCTTTGAGGCGCCCACACTATTTGTTAGGCTTCGCTGCCTCCTGCTATGTTGCCTGCCGACCTGCTGGAATATTGCCTGCTGCTATGTTACCTGCTGTCCTACTGCTCTGTTGCCTACTGACTTGCTGCTCTGTTATATGTAGTCCTGATATTGTGTTGCCTGTTGTCCAGCTCCTCTATTGCTTCCTGAACTCTTTCCTTCTGACGTGTCGCCAGCTGACCTGTTTTCTTCTGATATGTTGCCTGCTGATCTGCTACTATATGCTGCCTGTCGTCCTGCTGATTTATTGTTTGCTTCTCCGTTGTCTAGTCATCTGCTGTCCTGTTGCTTGCTGACATGCTATTCGTTTGCCTGTTGGCCCATTGTCCGGTGACCTGCTGCTCTTTTGCCTGCTGACATAGCTACTGCTTTATTGTGTACTGACCTGCTTCTCCGTTGAGCACGAAAAACAACAACAGCAGCAGTAATTAAAGCCACATCAGTAACAACAGTAACAACAACAGCAGCAGTAACAACAACAGCAGCAGTAACAACAATAGCAGCAGTAATACAAGTGTAACTCCAGTAACAGTAACAACAGTAGCATCAGTATCAATAGCAGCAGAAACAGTAGCAAGAACGCCAGGAGCAGCAACAACAGCAGCAGCAGCAAGAACACCAGGAGCAGCAACAACAGCAGCAGCAAGAACACCAGGAGCAGTAACAAGAGCAACAAGAACACCAGGAGCAGTAACAACAGCAAGAACACCAGGATCAGTAACAACAGCAGCAACAAGAACACCAGGAGCAGTAACAACAGCAGCAAGAACACCAGGAGCAGTAACAACAGTAGCAACAAGAACACCAGGAGCAGTAACAACAGCAAGAACACCAGGAGCAACAGCAACAAGAACACCAGGAGCAGTAACAAGAGCAACAAGAACACCAGGAGCAGTAACAACAGCAGCAAGAACACCAGGAGCAGTAACAACAACAGCAACAAGAACACCAGGAGCAGTAACAACAGCAGCAACAAGAACACCAGGAGCAGTAACAACAACAGCAACAAGAACACCAGGAGCAGTAACAACAGCAACAAGAACACCAGGAGCAGTAACAACAGCAGCAAGAACACCAGGAGCAGTAACAACAACAGCAACAAGAACACCAGGAGCAGTAACAACAGCAACAAGAACACCAGGAGCAGTAACAACAGCAACAAGAACACCAGGAGCAGTAACAACAAGAGCACCAGGAGCAGTAACAACAGCAACAAGAACACCAGGAGCAGTAACAACAGCAGCAACAAGAACACCAGGAGCAGTAACAACAACAGCAACAAGAACACCAGGAGCAGCAGCAACAACAGCAACAAGAACACCAGGAGCAGCAGCAACAGCAACAAAAACACCAGGAGCAGCAGCAACAGCAACAAGAACACCAGGATCAGTAACAACAGCAACAAGAACACCAGGAGCAGTAACAACAGCAGCAAGAACACCAGGAGCAGTAACAACAGCAGCAAGAACACCAGGAGCAGTAACAACAGCAGCAACAAGACCACGAGGAGCAGTAACAACAGCAGCAACAAGAACACCAGGATCAGTAACAACAGCAACAAGAACACCAGGAGCAGTAACAACAGCAGCAACAAGAACACCAGGAGCAGTAACAACAGCAGCAAGAACACCAGGAGCAGTAACAACAGCAGCAGCAAGAACACCAGGAGTAGTAACAACAACAGCAACAAGAACACCAGGAGCAGTAACAACAACAGCAACAAGAACACCAGGAGCAGTAACAACAGCAACAAGAACACCAGGAGCAGTAACAACAGCAACAAGAACACCAGGAGCAGTAACAACAAGAGCACCAGGAGCAGTAACAACAGCAACAAGAACACCAGGAGCAGTAACAACAGCAACAAGAACACCAGGAGCAGTAACAACAGCAGCAACAAGAACACCAGTAACACCAACATTACCATCTGCGGCAGAACACTGTCCAACAACCCACACCGGTTGCAATACAAATGGTAAACACTTGAGTCGGAAGGCCTCAACATTCAGAGCAGCTCCGAGTCGGTACACACCGGTAAACATACCGAAGAGGACGGAGCAGCCGGTGAATACAGATGTGTACACAACAATGCCGTCTTCAAACACCTGTCGAAAAATCAGCAGCAATGCCCAATACCGGTTCGAGAACAGTAGAAGACGCCACACAGGTGAAGTATTATCACAAGGTGGAGGTAGGTGGGGTGCGGTGGGGGGTAGGTGGGGCTGATGAGGGCAAAGGGAGCCGGGGTGGAGGGGTGGGGAAGGGCAGGACGGGGGGGGGGAGGATGAACCAGTATGACGCCACACTCATACTCACTTCACTCATCCTTCTTCGTCTCTACGTATACCTACCGTCCTCACTCACCTCTTTGACTACATCCTGTAATTCGTCTTGAATAACAAAGCTTTCCTGAACGTCTGCAGCAGATTTTGTTGTAATCTATACAGGAAATAGATCAGTAGTAGTAATCTATTTAGCAAATATTCAGCTATTCATTAAAATTAATTGTCAATTTGTACTGACATACACCTGTCTGAACTGAGGTGGTTATTGATGTATAACTATAATTACACCATCAAGAGGGGGCAGAAGGGGCAGAGGGGGCAGAGGGGGCAGAAGGGGCAGAGGGGTAGTAACTTGCATGACGCCCAACAGTCGTCACCTGAGGGAGTGTGGCGCCGGCCTTGCTAGGATCAACCAGCAAACACGAGGCACACCCACTCACGCCCTGCACTCACATAGCTCACACGTCCACGCCCTGTCCTCATATAACATGCACACCCACGCCCTGTCCTCTCATACCACACCCCTTTGTGCCCTTATATATAACGCCTACACATATAGCCCTGACCTCATATAGCACTCTCACCCCCCCCTCTTCACGCCCACTTCTCATATAGCATTTCCTCCCGCACTCTGTCCTCTTATAGCACGCCCACCACACGCCCTGTCCTCATATACCCCGCCCACACCACTTCCTGTCATATAGCATGCTCACCCACGCTCCATCATATAGGACGCCTACCCACGTCCTCTTCTTTTACATAGCATGTAACGTATACGAGTTTAGGTGACATTATTCAAAGACTTTAGTAGTTTGTGATGTTTTATATAGTTTTGGTTACAGCAGTCGGTTGTTGGCAATGTAATGACGTGTTGTGTTAGCTGAGACGAGTCCTGGAGCAGAGAGCTTGAGCGTGGCCGGGGGCAGAGAGCTTGAGCGTGGCCGGGGGCAGAGAGCTTGAGCGTGGCCGGGGGCAGACAGCTTGAGCGTGGCCGGGGGCAGACAGCTTGAGCGTGGCCGAGGGCAGACAGTTTGAGCGTGGCCGGGGGCAGACAGCTTGAGCGTGGCCGGGGGCAGACAGCTTGAGCGTGGCCGAGGGCAGACAGCTTGAGCGTGGCCGAGGGCAGACAGCTTGAGCGTGGCCGGGGGCAGACAGCTTGAGCGTGGCCGAGGGCAGACAGCTTGAGCGTGGCCGAGGGCAGACAGCTTGAGCGTGGCCGGGGGCAGACAGCTTGAGCGTGGCCGGGGGCAGACAGCTTGAGCGTGGCCGAGGGCAGACGGCTTGAGCGTGGCCGGGGGCAGACAGCTTGAGCGTGGCCGGGGGCAGAGAGCTTGAGCGTGGCCGGGGGCAGACAGCTTGAGCGTGGCCGGGGGCAGACAGCTTGAGCGAGGCCGGGGGCAGAGAGCTCGAGTTCGGGCGGAATCTATAATAATAATAATAGTAATGTTTATTCAAGTAAAAGTTCCGTGCACGGCGCTCTGGGTGTCGTGCAGGGCGCCCTGGTTGCTCTATGGAGAGGCTGTAGCGTCCTGTAAAAGTAGGAACCAGACTCGTTGAGTGTTACATTGTTGTTGGTGGTGTTGAAGAGGATCCCAAGCATACACAGAGCGCTTCTTACCGAACCACTGTTGGAGTTAGACTGACGACGCTGTAATCTGTAATGACTGGATGTTGTTGTTTTTGATTCAGCCACTCGGAACAAAAGTTTCAAGTAGCACGGGCTATGGTGAGCCCGTAGTGGACTTACCTGGCAATGGAGCGGGGCTGTAACTGATTGAATGGCTGGACGGAAAGTATAGCTTATATTCCACGCTTCTCCTGACTTGCCAGATTGACCATCATCTTGCTGGTGCATCAATTGTAATTAGTACACGTCAATTGTAATTGTACGATTGTAATTCATCAATTGTAACCAGTACACATAAGATTAGTGTAGAACTTCTTGGAATGTAGAATTCTTAGGGATGATTTATGTGGAATTAACAGGTACACCTGCACTGAAACTTCTGACAATCCTTCATGGCTTCCTTTCCTCCCTCGTATCACACAACACTCTCCTCTCCCTCCTCCCTTGCCAGTGCTAAGACGCCAAACCATTGTTGTTGTTTTAGATTTAGCTACTCAGAACGAAATGTCCAAGTAGCACGGGCTATGGTGAGCCCGTAGTGGACTTACCTGGCACAGGAGCGGTGCTGTAACTGGCGTCAAACCAATTGATGATTGATAAAGATTAAGCCACCCAAGAGGTGGCACGGGCATGAATAGCCCCTAAACGCCAAATCTTCGTCCCTTCCTTTATATTGAGGCCAGCGGCCCTTCCCTCCACACTCCCTGGTCGTAGTCCCCCACTTATATGGTAGGCTGCATCTGCCTCCTTTCCCTTGCCTTCGTGTACCTCGCCACACCCTTCTTTCCTTCCTCATGTAGCGCGCCTCTCCCTCCCTCCCGCCTGTAGGACGCCACACCTTTCCACATTCAGAGTTGTTGTTGTTTAAGATTCGCGACTTGTAACAAAAAGTTCCAAGTCGCACGGGCTATGGTGAGCCCGTAGTGGACTTACCTGGCACAGGAGCGGGGCTGTAACTTTACATTCAGAGCTGTTGTTGCTTTTGTTTTTTATATTTAGCTACTCGGAACGAAATATCCATGTAGCACGGGCTATGGTGAGCCCGTAATTGAGTTCGGTTATTCCCGATAACCTTGTTACTCTGATATTTGGGTCAAAGTTTTTAAATGGAGATGGGGATTCCTCCTTTTTCCCTGTTTCTTTTTTACTTCTGTTTTAGTGCACTGGTTTTAGTCTTGTTTTAATAACATTATCTTGGTGGCGGATGTAGATGCAGAATGCTCACTAGTGAATCCCTTTCCTCAGCGGCTTTTCTAATCATTGTAGTCGCGGTGAAATGTGCATCTAATGCAGCTGCTGTCGTTGGATTAATGTTGAGTTTGATGCGCAGGGCTTCAGTAGCTTCACATTCCAGTAAGTAGTGCAATAGTAGCGCCTCTGCTTCTGTTCCACACATATGACACTCTTTAACTATTGGGTTTATTACCTCCCACCAGCACTTGTAACCAAGTCTGAGTCTGTGTATGGCTACTGCAATATCTCTGGATATCTTTTTGTCAGGCTTGAAAGAGTAGTACCTAGTGGCTTGTTCGTACCATATCGCAGTGGATCTTCCTTCTGCTACTTTGGCTCTGTGGCGACTTTTGATAGTTGGGAGTATTTTTTTCTTGATTTGCTCCTTAATCTGTGAAAAACTTGGAGGTATTTGAACCTGTACAACAGGTAGAGCAGTGGCAGTTTTTTCTAGTGAGTCTGCCTTTTCATTACCATCTATGCCAATGTGACTTGGTATCCAAGTTAGGGTGACTGACAGAGCTTGATTATGGGCTTCTTTTCCTATATGTTGGATTTCTGTGAGGAGTTGTATATTATCTCTGTGCTGACTGGATAACAATGCCTGGAGCGAAGATTTAGAGTTGGTATGAATGATGACATCATGTAAATTATTCTCAATTGTATAGTTTATTGCCTCCTTCAGGGCATATAATTCTGTTTGCAATGTTGAGCACCCACTATTCATGCTCCAGTAAGCTTCATGGTTGGTAGTGTAAACTGCTGCTCCAACAGAACCTCTTTCTTGATCAACTGATCCGTCTGTGAAGTCGTTGTAGGTCTTGAGATGGTTTCCATTTGTTGTTCTATGACTGCTTTAAGCCTCTGCGGGTCACATGCTGATTTTTTAACTGGTAATCCTTCTATGATTATCTTTAGACTCGAGTCTTCCCATGGAGGAGGCTGTCGAAAGTGTTGATATGGTCTATCTTCCTCTTTGTTTTTAATGATCCAATTTAAGTCCACTTTCTCTAGAATCTTGGCCAGATTTTCCGTCCACATTCAGAGTTCCACATCCTCCCTATATAGCAACACAACGGTTGAGAGGCAGGGACCATTTGGTCACCATTTGGTCCGGGAGACATCTCCCGTCACGCAGGGTGCAGTTGCGCCTCCACAGATCTCCAGTATCATCTTTTGATACTGGTAATGGCTCAAAAGGGCCACCACTTACAGGCTATTCATGCCCGTGCCACCTCTTGGGTGGCTTAATCTTCATCAGTCAGAGAGGCAGGATTACGGGCTATTCATGCCCGTGCCACCTCTCGGGTGGCTTAATCTTCATCAATCAATCAATCAACCGAGAGGCGGGACCAAAGAGCCAAAGATCAACCCCCGCAAGCACAACTAGGTAACTACAACACTCCTTCCCTCATGAAGCACGCCACACTCCCTCCCTTCGTGCCCTCATTATACCACACGCTCCAAACTTCCCCCATAAAGATGATTCAAACGCAGGGCAGACAAATGATTGTGCGTGTGGCTGTATATAAACATGAACTGCGTCGCTTGAGACTAGTAGGCCTCCTTTAGTTTATTGTTTTCTTGTTTGTAAAAAGCGCGCGAAGACTAGTGAAGTTTCTCATCCCGTAAATTAGATTTCATCTTCTTGTGTCGCAAGTTACGTCAAGCAAAGCTTGTGCGAAGGTAATAAAGATGATTTTTTCTTTAGGCATTGTTCTATCGTACGAAGCGACACTACCGGAAGCTATAAATGCTGGAAGGAGTAATCTGATACAGCACGAGGTCACCTGAACGCGTTCTAGGGCGACCTCTGGAAGGCGTGGATCTCAAGCCTTCACTCTCCGCCACCAGGAATTTTCTTTTTCTGTTCTTCTCCAACTGATGAGCCTGGCCCCTTTATGACTGACGTTACACAATGAGCAATAACCATATGTGATCCTTTCTATACACACACACACACACACACACACACACACACACACACACACACACACACACACACACACACACACACATATATGCTAACAAGCCTGAACGGTCTCCAGGCATATATGCAACTGAAAATTCACACCCCAGAAGTGACTCGAACCCATACTGCCAGAAGCAATGCAACTGATGTACAGGATCCCTTAACCACTCGACCAACACGACCGGACAAAAGAGGATGGTAGCCGAGGCTAATTCCCCATCCCCCCCGCCGGCTCTCTGTTGGTAATCTTGGCCATGGTATTTTATCAAATCACCTCATTCTTTGGGGCACACGTGAGGAACACAAATGCGAATTCAGTTCCATATATGCCTGGAGACCGTTCGGGCTTGTTCGCATTTGTGTTCCTCACGTGTGCCCCAAAGAATGAGGTGATTTGATAAAATACCATGCCCAAGATTACCAACAGAGTGCCGGCGGGGGGATGGGGAATTAGCCTCGGCTACCATCCTCTTTTGTCCGGTCGTGTTGGTCGAGTGGTTAAGGGATCCTGTACATCAGTTGCATTGCTTCTAGCAGTATGAGTTCGAGTCACTTCTGGGGTGTGAGTTTTCAGTTTATATATATATATATATATATATATATATATATATATATATATATATATATATATATATATATATAAGATTATTATATTAGGACATTTTGTCATAAAATGCACTTTCAGGAATTAACTAGCTTACTAAATCCCCCCCCCCCGGCAAAATTAATACCAAAGCAATACTCTATCCAAGCAGGGAGACTTCACCTTCAAAAGGCCATATAATTTTAGAGAAAGTTCAATATAGAACGACAAAGTAGATAGAAAGATAAAGATAGATATGTAGGCAGATAGATAAATAGGTAGATGGGAGACAGACCCAGGCAACGCCGGAAACCCGCACCTAGTAAGGTTATGGAACGCTTACACTCTGAAGCCATAAATAGTAGGACATAACTTCAGTTCAAAATCCAGATGGGAAACTCCTCATGAGAGACGAGAGCTTCGACAAGCCATAGAGATGTGGCCTTCAGGTGAATTACGCATCAAATTAGCTCTTTCTTAATATTATACCAATACGGTCGTTATGCCCCTGATGACCGTGATATGGAGGAACGTGATTGGTGGAGGTACCGGGGCAAGCAGCCAATTGCAGGGGGCGCCGGGGAGCGCGGCGTGTGCGGGAGTCAACGACAGGGGTGAGGGGCGAGGAGCTGGTCAGTGTGTGGTTCAGTGCTCAGCTCAGCGAACACCAGCTTATCTTATAGGTTAGTAATGCTCTTCTTGTTATTGTAAGTAATACCAAGAAAAAAAGTTCTCTACGGGCTCACCCTAGCCCGTGCTACCCGAAACTTTTTGTTCCTGGTAGCGAATCTTGAACAACAAAAACACCAACAACAATGTAAGTGAGGAATATACAGTCTGTGGAGGTTTGGTCTACTTGTATGGGTGGGTTTTCTTGTCTTGAATGTCTTGGCAAAGAACGTAAACAAATTAGTTTGTATTCCCCGGATGTTCTGGTAAAGTTTACTTGTTTGAGAACTCCTGTAAATGTCTTAACTAAATATTTTCAATATTACTAAAACTTTGCGTATAAGTTTTCTAACTTTCACCTATAAAAAAAAACTAGTTTACTTCGAACTATTTTTATAAAACGAACTTTCAGTATTAAATTAAAATACTAAATCCTATACCCTTCCCCTTAGTAAAATTAGCTCAATTTCTAAACGCTTAACTTAAATAGCTTTCTACACGCCAATGATCTTTACAACATCAGAGGCACACAATGCGTTCAATAATAAATTGACCATCAAACACACTCAAGATCTCATATCAAACAACGCCTCGCAAAGATCTTTTGTCAAAATAGTTTGCATTAAAAAAGTACTAACGATTGCGGTCTTTGCCACGTGAATAAGCTATGATCACGTGCGGCTTATGGCCAGACACTCTACCTCCCTCTTCACGCAGGTTAAGGAATTTCCTTAAAAAATTTTAAGGATTCAAATTAATCCTGGTTGCTACATTCATTAACATGGCAATGAATTTTACCGTTATCATAAACTATAGCTCCCTACACTAAATTCCCCCTCTAAAAATTCTTAACACCCATAACTTTGTTGGTGCTTTAAAGTTGTTGGTAAATTTTTGATACACGCTTAGACTTGAAGATTGTCTTCAAACCTGCATAAGATGCGAAGTGTTACGTAAAAGGAAAGTAACAATCCTCTAGTAACGGGTGGTCTCTGAAAGATGCTTATCAGAGCTGCTTGAGTTGGCAGAAAAAGGCTACACGCTTTTCTTTTGAGCCAAGGATATCCATTAAATTCTACACAATACATTAACACTCTTAAATTACGGAGTTTTAGTTCCCGGTATATTCTACCCTAATTGCCAGAAAATTCACTAGTATGTAATTTGGTCATGGTTACCATAATAAGACTTTAAAAAAAAAAAAAAAAAAAAAAAAAAAAAATTGCTCTGATCATTTTTCTTAACTGGTTAAGTATCTTGAACCTGTTAAATTATTGTAATACTTTAGATCATAACCTTCAAGGTAGTTAGCAATACTAATGGCTTGCCTACATAAATTTGTCTAACTTAAGTCTTCTTTAAAGACTGAAGATACTGTTATTCCAAAACTACCTAAAAGCATACTGGTAAAACTACCTGCCAAGGCATAATTCGTGCATGGCTTTAAATAATGCAGTCTTTATTTCTCTTGATACTTCATAATGGATTATGCTGGATAGTATACTTGTTGAATATTACGTACATCAAAGTTGATGCCTGTTATTTCCTCTTGTGCAGGTAACTTCTCTTACACGGTTGAACCATCAGACTTCTGGCATCATGATCTCTCCCAGTTCAATGCCCGCTCAGGTAAGAAATGTACCGGAAAACGTCCTGATATTAATGCTTGGCATATTAAAATGCTAATCGATATGGTTTAACTACATTAGGGAGGGGAAGGAGGGATTTAACTTAAAAGCAAGAGACTTGCTTTTTAAGCAATCTCTACAGGTAAATTGTCTAAACTTGAGGGAGCCTAGGAAGTATCTGAAATGGGGATTGGTTTTATAAAATGCAAATGTCGTCCATATACTTAAAAAAATTTGGTCGCCAGAACCTGGCAGGCAATCGTTGCTGATGAAATATTAATCTAGACACTAAAATTTCTAAGTAAACGCAAGTAGAATACAAAATTTTCATAAATTACTAAATTTAAGATTCTTCTGCTTTCAAACTATAACAGACACGTGGTTCTCTTAATTTTGTAGGTACTTGGTTATAACTTTCTAATTGCCTTGTTCTAAAAGTTTCTGCTTCATACTACTGAACATGCCGTAAAATTTAGATTAGTATATTCGCTAAATAATCCAGAGTAATATGCTTTTTTCAGCAATCTGAGGCTCCATCAGAAAGCCTGGAGCACCACTCGCCCAAAACTGAGGAAGTTGCTCAGATTAACGACCAGTCTGGAGATCTTGCAGCACGTGTGACGGAGCTACCTTCTGATGCCACCAACTTGACTGAAAACAAAGAGGTTGATAAGAAAGATGCTACAGATGAGGCAAAGGAAGATGCAGTTCCAACCTGCAAGGAAGACCCTGCAACCACAGATGGGGCAGAGAAATGCAAGGAGGAATCTGCAGCCACAGATGGTGCCGAGAAATGCAAGGAGGAATCTGCAGCCACAGATGGTTCCAAGGAATCTGCCGCCACAGATGGTGCCGAGAAATGCAAGGAAGAATCTGCAGCCACAGATGGTGCCAAGGAATCTGCAGCTACAGATGGGGCCGAGAAATGCAAGGAGGACTCTGCAGCCACAGATGGGGCCGAGAAATGCAAGGAGGAATCTGCAGCCATAGATGGTGCCGAGAAATGCAAGGAGGAATCTGCAGCCACAGATGGTGCCAAGGAATCTGCAGCCACAGATGGTGCCGAGAAATGCAAGGAAGAATCTGCAGCCACAGATGGTGCCAAGGAATCTGCAGCCACAGATGGTGCCAAGGAATCTGCAGCTACAGATGGGGCCGAGAAATGCAAGGAGGACTCTGCAGCCACAGATGGGGCCGAGAAATGCAAGGAGGAATCTGCAGCCACAGATGGTGCCGAGAAATGCAAGGAGGAATCTGCAGCCACAGATGGTTCCAAGGAATCTGCCGCCACAGATGGTGCCGAGAAATGCAAGGAAGAATCTGCAGCCACAGATGGTGCCAAGGAATCTGCAGCCACAGATGGTGCCAAGGAATCTGCAGCTACAGATGGGGCCGAGAAATGCAAGGAGGAATCTGCAGCCACAGATGGTGCCGAGAAATGCAAGGAGGAATCTGCAGCCACAGATGGTGCCAAGGAATCTGCAGCCACAGATGGTGCCGAGAAATGCAAGGAGGCATCTGCAGCCACAGATGGTGCCAAGGAATCTGTAGCCACAGATGGTGCCGAGAAATGCAAGGAGGAATCTGCAGCCACAGATGGTGCCGAGAAATGCAAGGAGGAATCTGCAGCCACAGATGGTGCCGAGAAATGCAAGGAGGAATCTGCAGCCACAGATGGTGCCAAGGAATCTGCAGCCACAGATGGTGCCAAGGAATCTGCAGCCACAGATGGTGCCAAGGAATCTGCAGCCACAGATGGTGCCAAGGAACCTGCAGCCACAGATGGGGCCGAGAAATGCAAGGAGGAATCTGTAGCCACAGATGGGGCCGAGAAATGCAAGGAGGAATCTGCAGCCACAGATGGTGCCAAGGAATCTGCAGCCACAGATGGTGCCAAGGAATCTGCAGCCACAGATGGTGCCAAGGAATCTGCAGCCACAGATGGTGCCAAGGAATCTGCAGCCACAGATGGTGCCAAGGAATCTGCAGCCACAGATGGTGCCAAGGAATCTGCAGCCACAGATGGTGCCAAGGAATCTGCAGCCACAGATGGTGCCAAGGAATCTGCAGCCACAGATGGTGCCAAGGAATCTGCAGCCACAGATGGGGCCGAGGAATCTGCAGCCACAGATGGGGCCGAGAAATGCAAGGAGGAATCTGCAGCCACAGATGGGGCCGAGAAATGCAAGGAGGAATCTGCAGCCACAGATGGGGCCGAGAAATGCAAGGAGGAATCTGCAGCCACAGATGGGGCCGAGAAATGCAAGGAAGCTGTTGCTGACGTAGAGACCGCTGAGGAATGCAAGGAGGATTGTGTATCCACAGATAAGACGAAGGAAGCGGCAGTTGAGACGGGAAAGGATGATGCTGGGGCAGCAATACAGATTTTGGTGACGGAAGTTGACGAAAAAGAGACTCTACAAATGAACGGCCTTCACGATAAGGAGAAAACTGAGTAGTATTTAATTCACACGTTATTTATGTTAATAAATCTGCAAGCTTTCTCTGAATTTTATTAAGCCTATCAGTGGCTCTGATAATAAATATGAATCTAAACCCTGTAATCTTAAATACTGAACCACAAACTTAACTCTTGGCCGCGATCTTATTACGGCAACATTTCTTTCGTGCCTTTAAAGCTGTGTTGTAGGCTATTGATAACGTAGAAATAATGCCTACAGTATTATACTTAATTCAAATATATTATGCACTTAAACTGTACGTCCATGCATTAAAAAATAAAAAACTTAAGATTGCCGCTAACTGTAGTAAAGTGTTTACATAGTCTGGTAACTTGGGTCTGGAACTTTGCACGTCCAGTAACTGTTTCAGAAAAAAATCTCTTGCGTAAATAAACTAACAGTACTATAATATGGTTTTGTTTACTACTAATTCCTGGCTGAAATAAAATGTTCCTTTTTAGAACTCTAACGGAATCAAACTATTACCACTAAATTAAGGTGAAACAAAACTACTAAAGTCGACTAATCTTGGTGAAAGTGTAGAGGCTGTAAAAATCTCGTAGCCAGTATTTGGATACAAAACACTAGTAACGGTATGAAGCAAAAATAAAGCCGGCGTCCAGAAATAAGACACGCTCCGACAATCCAACTCGATAGTTTCAAAACAGACCTGTTTATAACAAAGTAGCAGCAAACAAAGCTGCTACTTTGACCCTCGACTATTACCCTCCCCCCCCCCCCTCTGTGGTACGGTTGAGCCCCAAGCCCCCCCCCCCCCCCCCCAGTGGTGAGCTCGTCCCCTAGAGACTCCCTCTCATTGTAACTATTACGAATTTCCCCCTTTTACGGAAAGTTCTCTGCCCCCCCCCCCTCCCATATACGCTCCAGCGCGATTCTTTCCCGTGCTAATACGTTTTATGCCTTGTTTGGTTCTGCTACATGGACTAAATACTTTGATCGCGACAATCTGGATTGTAAGCTTCCTGACGATTTCTTCCTCCATAAACACCCGTTGATTCGGTGGATGCCTGTTACTTTTAACCCCACCCGTTTTGGTACACTTGTCGCTGCTGAGGATGCAGCTATCCGCTTAACTGCATTGTCCAGCGTTGGGGAGACCCCTGTTAGGCTCTCTAAAAATGCCCGGTTAAATGCCAGTATTGGCAGTTTTTCTCCCGCACTGTTATCCACCCACCGGGTCCTCCTCCACAGCTAGTGGCGGGAAATCTTCCTCACTAAAGTTCAAAGGAGCGACAACATCCGCCGAAACAGCAGCCAGGAGGCCCAACAAACCGCAGCGAAAACAGGTGTGTAGCTGACGTGCGTAGTACACACGGACGTAATAACACATGAGCCGCACAGGACGGGATGTCCGACCACACCCGCATCCCCAGAGTGCGAAAATTAGTTTGAACGCCCTGAAGTTTCCCAGAGGAAAGCAAATTCAATCTGACATTTACGACAGTGCCATACCGCCCGAAATACCTCCACAGCAGCTCCTCCGGGAACTCGAGGGGCACACTGACGAACGTAAGGGCACCACTCTGGTCACATAACTACCGTACCAGCAGCGGAAATGACCGCCCCTCAACGGCGCAAGAAAACCCTGTAATCCTCCTCTGCAGCAAACTTTACTATAGCTCGATGAGAAGACCCCCAACTCCACTCCATAGATCGCAGCTACATCAACTCGCAGCATGTCACACAACACCAGCTCCACCGCCGGATAATCAGCCTGGCCAGTAAACTCCAGGCCCATTGAATGAGCCCACAAAACAGGGGGGAGGGAACAACCCATCACTCAGGCTACGTCAGCACACCACTTGCGGTCTGCCAACTACCCTGGGCAAGCAAGAACTCCATGAGTACAGTTGCGGACGGGCAGCCACACTAGTAATGCTCGCTAGGCTAATTAAATACAATTATAATAATCAATCTGACCTCAGGCCAAGCTAGTTAAAGCTGCAGCCAAACTCCCAAGACTCATAAATTTTAACATTGTGAATGTTAAAATTTTAACATACTGTGTATGTTACCTAGCAGTTGAAGTGGTCATGATTGATATGTTGCAGGAGGATGTTTCGTCTGTGTGCGGCGTTCAACTTTTATACCGGCATCGAGTTGTTGTGAAATTCTGCTCCACGGCTGTGTATCATGACTTTGTGAACCACTATGACGGGAGGACGTTTACTCTGCCTGAGGGGTGGTGGTTCGGTGGAAGTGTCGGACATGTGCAGTGAGACTACCTATGTGGCGGTTCATGGTGCTCCCTTTGAGTTCCCAGACTCTCTTCTCCAGCGTCACTTTACCCGGTATGGGCGGGGGCTTGAGTGTCCAGATGAATGCAGTCTCCTCCGGGCGGTGGAAGGGTATGCCGAATGGGACCTGCACTCTGGTGCTGCGCTTGAAGGATCCCCATTTCTTCATCTCTCCTGCTTCTGGGCTTCATGGTACATGTATTCTATGGGGGTCAGTCTCGGACTTGTTTCAGGTGCGGGCCATCAGGCTGCGGGTTGTGATGCGAGCCGGGTCGGGCCTGTGAACCTCTTCAGGGAGGAGGACTTTCTCCCATTGGCGGTCGCGGACCTGTTGGAAGGTGCTGCTGTAGTGAGTGATACTTCCCAGTCGTCTGGTGCCCCGTTGCCGGTCTCTGATGCCAGCCTCGATGTGTCTGTGGGTGTCCGGGTGGTAATTAGTGCATCCCCGGCTCCCGCACCTCGGCTACCCCTGCCTGCCTCGTCTCCAGTTGTCTCCTGTGGTGTGTGGTCTCGTGCACCTGGACGTGGAGGCTGCACCCCGGCCTGTACAGTCTCCGGCAGCTGTGTCTTTGGCCCGTGTCGACGTGCATGCTGTGATGTCTCCCGCGGTGTGTGGTCCTGTTCCCCAGGTTGAAAAGGCTGTGATGTTGAGTGATCGTGCGCTGCGTAGAGTTGTGTGGTCGACCAGAGGTTCTGCTACGGTGCCTCCTGACGGGGGTGATAGTTACGACGACTTGCGACCTCTGTCCAAGCGTTCACGGCAAGCTTTGAGTCTGTCTCCGCCTCGTGGTGAGGCCTGGGTCGACGTCCGGGATTTTTGGGACTCTGGAAGTTCGTATTCTTTGGATGACGATGTGGGCGACGATGTTAGAGTGCCTGTGGCTCCTGTGGGCCGAGTTGCAGCGGTGATAGGTCATGTGGTGGGGTTGTCGCCTGGTCCTGTATCTTCTCCGGCTGCCTCTGCATCCCCGGTTGCTGGTTCCCCAAGATGGGAGGTTGTGGCACCGGCCGAGGTTGCGGGAGAGGGTGGGGACTTGGTGCTGGTTCTTAAGAAAGATTCTGTTCCGGCGGCCCCCGTGCCTCTGGCGTCCATGTCTGTGCCTTCCGCGCCTCTGCCATCGGTGTTGCTGACCGTTGCACGGCTGCCGTCTGCTCAGCCGTCCTTTGTTGCTCCGCCCCCTATGGTGTCGGCCCCTGCACCATCGCCCTCTGTGATTGTGTCCCCTGCGACTCTGCCTGCTGTGTTGCCGCCTTGTATCCGGCCGGCTCCTGCGCTTTAGTCCCATGTGGTTCCACCGTCTGTACCGAAGAGCTCTGTGCGGTCTCTTCCTATGACTTCTACCCCCGTGGTGGTGGGCGCCGCACTGGATGTTCCTAACTTCATGTATCGACTGCGAGGATCACGTAGTCACGTTAACGCGTCTGCGGAATTATGGGCTCGGTGGGATGCCTATAGGAAGAAGTACCTGCGGCGTCTATATCCGGATAAATAAGAGGATGATTAACTGTGTGTGTGGTTCTTGTTTTGTGTTGCTTTATTTCTTTATTTGTTTTGTTGTACTGTAAGCTAGGGGGTTATTTTTTCATGTGTTTCTTGCCTGGTTCTTATTGGACTATAGTGCTCTGGTGTTTTTTCTTTTCTGACTGTATTTCATTGCTACCTATGTTTATGTTACTGTTTTGTGTTTTGTACGACTTTTGTTTGTGTGTTTTCCTGTTCTAACGTTTGTTCTTGTGTTTCTTGCCTTGACAATGTGATTGATGATGTTTTTATATTGTTGTATTTGTGTTTTCCCAAATAAAAAGAAAAAACTAGGCATGGGGAGAGGTAGGTATCCCTAAGCACACATATTTCCCTAACAACACAAACTAAAATATATAAAATAATGGTTAGATGGCAATCTCATCCCACAAGAGTTAAGATGATAAAAATAATAATGGGTTAGTACAATGGAAAAAAATGTATTTGTTTTTCTTGTATATGACACATCACACAAAGGGCAGATAGCTAGGTGTAGGTTAGGATAGGTTAGGCATTCTGTTTGCTACAATCTGTCCTCGACTCAAGCTCATTACATCCAGCGGTCGACCCCACAAACGCATTCATAAATTTTTACATGCTGTTCATTCAAAACGGGAATTTTCTCAAGTATAAATTATTATAATATATTAGCATATTGTGCATATATAGGAATAGGTTAGGTTAGGTTAGGTGTTTAGGTTCTGTTGGCGATTATTTGTATTTGTAGTACGTGGGTGAAGCATTTATAGCGTTGTGATTCGAACAAAATTCGTCAGTGAAGCACTTGTTCCGGATATGTTCGAACGTTAGCAGTTGTGAGTCGTGTGTAAACCGCTTTTCATTCATAAACAGGGGGTTTGGCGGGTGCATGGAATCACTTTTGGATCTTTGTTTGGAGGACGGGCTGGTTTATGAATGAAAAGCGGTTTACACACGACTCACAACTGCTGACGTTCGAACATATCCGGAACAAGTGCTTCACTGACGAATTTTGTTCGAATCACAACGCTATAAATGCTTCACTCACGTACTACAAATACAAATGATCGCCAACAGAACCTAAACACCTAACCTAACCTATCCTATGCCTATATATACACAATATGCTAATATATTATAATATTAATTTATACTTGAGAAAATTCCCGTTTTGAATGAACAGCATGTTAAAATATACTAATGCGTCTGTGGGGTCGACCGCTGAATGTAATGGACTTGAGTCGAGGACGGGTTGTTTATTGAGACAAGAAAGAAAAACATCTCAAAGGGATAGAGTAGCTTAGGCTATTTCTACCCCCTCTACTTCAAGTCCCTTAAGGGACGCACAAATTCAGTGAGTACAAATACACAAATCACAGTACAAGAATCCCATTTAACATTGCAGGTTAATATTGTAAGCACCGCATTTTGATCGAACCACAACGCTGTAAATGCTTCACCCACGTACTAAAAATACAAATAATCGCCAACAGAACCTAAACACTTAACCTATTCCTATATATGCACAATATGCTAATATATTAATTTATATTTGAGAACATTTCCGTTTTGGATGAACAGCATGTAAAAAATTATGCATGCGTCTGTGGGGTCGACCACTGGATGTAATGGACTTGAGTTGAGGATGAGTTGGGGGACGGGTTGATTACCAGTACCCTCAAGCTTGCTATTGCTTACTGTTTGTTGGCTATATGAAATAAATACTTTCTAGTGTGACAATTTCGAACCAACTGTCTTATTTAATAAATTTCCCACTTCAAAGTGCCGGGTCCGTTTTCAGTACACCACTACGATCATTGGGTGTCAGAGGTGGCCGTGACACCGAGGCATGTGATTGGTTGAGCTACCAAAGACGGCAACCAATGATCGTGGCAGCTCGGAGAGGGATGTTGACGAGTTTTATTGACAGTCAACGTTAGCAGCAAGTGGGAAGAATGAAGTCAGTGAGTGGCTACGATGGCGCCTGTACCAGATACACATGTTGAGGAATCGATAGTACCAAGGTGTTTCTTCCAGGAGGTCCATGAGCTTCCGATTGTAGCTTCTGCTGCAGAGAAGGCAAGTTAAAAAAAATATTCATAGAAAGACCGTAGTGGCGATTGCTTTGGCACTTGTCTCTAAACGTATTAAGTATTTAATGTTTGCTTAATTGTACGAGTCTTGAGACCTTTTGATAGGAAAATCCCGGCCACAGGATGGCAAATATAAAAGTTTCAGAATTTGAACTTTAATATATTTATTAACTTTGCATTAGGTGTAATGTGTAATCACCTAAGTGTCTGGGTCTCTTATTCTCGGCAATAGTTTCAGAGTATGTGCTTATGGCAGTGTTAAAACTCATTTACCGTGAGGTGCCTGTATTTGCGAGTTCCTACTTAAAGTCTGTTACAATCTTAAGTTTCTCCTGTCGTAATATGTAAATGGTAGGAGATGGCTGTCCATGTAACATCATTCCGGTGTAGATGCTCGCAGGGAATTTCGGCAGTTTGCCAGTGTATAGCAGTGTTGTGCTGACGTGTATTCCATACCGGCCTATATGCATTGCAAAGCCTTAATTTTCCACGGCAAGGCTCTGTAACTTGTTACTTTAGTTTTATCATGTATAAATTGCTAGGGTTGAAAGTATTGACTGTTTAGTGGTCTTGCCTTATGCAGCCTCTCACTTGGTCTTTTTTGCCCCTCCTTTTTTTTTTTTTTTTTTTTTTTTTTTTTTTTAGGCCAGATTCAGGAAAGCACTAACAAACGTGTACATTTTTCCTCAATCTTTGACGGCTTTGATTACATCTCTTAAACGGGTTTTAAAATGAATTTCTCATTAAACTGTTCATAAACAACCTCCTGGTACTTCGGAACTCAAACTGTTTAATTGGAAAAAAGCCGCCAAAAATTAAGATGTACAGGTTCGTAAGTGCTTGCGTGAATCTGGCCCCTGGTCTCAACTTGTTTGGAGAATTAAGGCATATGTATTGAGACTTGCAGGCGATAGTTGGCATGTTCTTGTTTAGTTACAAAGATAAAGTAACATGTGGAGTCTCAATACTCTTGCATGTAAATTATAAGATTTTTCGCAGATTCTAAAGTACTGCATATACTTGGCCCTCCTTCAGTAATCCTTGATTCTGGGAAAATTCCCGCCAGGTGACGAAGACCCACAACTCGCTGTGTAAGTTTGTCCCTCTATACCAGCGCGTCTCCTCGGCCGCCCTCTCCACCACCCGCTCCCTCGCTCACAGGGCCAGCGAGTACACGCTAGTGAAAGCCTCGGGTATGTAGGATAAGCTGGGCTAGTTAGAGGTATAGAGCGAAGCTTGAATGATGGAACCTTTTTTATGCTTGCACTTCAGTTTATTGGATGGCTACATACCCTCCACAGCTTGGCAGTCTGATAATTAATACTGTATATTTAAAATGATTCTACGTATAATGTACAGCTTGGCTCGCACAAGTTAGGTTAGCCTTAACCTTTTAGTAAAGGTCGACTTGAGCTGTATTTAACAAGACTTCTACTTTTCAGTTCACAAAGTAGAAGGATTAGGGCTGAAAGCTGTGACTACTCTGAAAAATTCTTGCCCCATTGTAAAGGAACCCACTGAAAAGGTAAGCATTTAATCTGATGGTAAGCATTTAATCTGATGGTTAAGGAACGGTTTTATTAATGGCAGAAATTAACATGAATCGACCTGTTGCAGGTGGTAGAGGAAGTTGGCACCAAAGTGCGTCAACGTGTACGGCTAGGACGCTCTCGCATAGCTACCTACTTAGTTTTCCAGACCTCGTGCAGGGTAACAGAAGCTCTCGTAACCACTGCAGAGAGGGCCTGCGCTGCCTTAATTCGTAAAGGTTTGTATTAGACTTCTCTAGTACCGGGAGGGGATAATTTCGCCATAATTTTCAATTAATTCTAACTTTCTTTCTAGAAGCGCAAGTGTGGACGCTACTTGTACCGCTGGCTCAGCAGCTAAAGTGCTTGTCTCCCACACAGCCTTTAAATTCTGTTGTGAGTAGCCTTTAATTTCAGTTATTGGTGAACCTAACGTAGCCTGCTACGCTCGGCGCTTTCTCCCCCACCACCCATTCCACCTGTTTAGTCTACTTCCCCTTCAAACGCAGCCCCGCCCCCCTCTTTTTCTTGTCTTGTATTCTTTCACTAAACAATCGGTTTGACCTTGGCATGCTTGACATTGGAGAAGCAAGGTAGTCTAAACCTTCGCATACTAGTTTCTCTCTCTCGAACTAAGAATGTTTGGGGGGGGGGGGGAAACTTTGGAGGAAGTATTGTGCTACTATGGGTGAAAGTGATTAGGAAAGTTCTTTTTAAAGATGTCTGCTCTTGTATTGCTCTAATTTTTAACTTGGCTGGTGGGCATATTAAACTATAAGTTACCTACTTTTGAATTTAGGCAATTTCAGACCAGCAAACTTCGTCCCTATTACCAAAAGACTGTTTCCTCCTGCGAAGGCAGAAAAGGCTAGGCCAAAGCGCTCTGTTAAAGCTATAGTGCCCCTTTGTAAGAGTCTAACTTGCAACTCTTGCAGGAGCGGCACCTACGGAACTACAGGCGGTCGTTGCGAGCTTGGCGCCGTTCTGGTACCGTCGTCCCTTCGGGCTTGCACAACCTTAAGGTGGATATAAAACATTATTGGTAAACATAGAAATGTGCAGCTCGTGGCCTGAGCACAGTAACTAGTCTTAAATGCAGTATTTAATCACTTGCCAAACTCCTTCCTACATTTTCTTGCTTTCTCTTGCATGCTTAATTTAGAAACTGTACTTGTGGTAGATCTCGATCCCATTTATAATGAAGACTTGTACTGAATTTTGTAACTAGCTCAAAAGGTTTTAACTTGGTTAGCTAAATGAATTGTAGGGTTCTGTTAGAGCCCATTATGTGCCTCTAGCCCTTTCCACTACTGCCAACAAAATGGGTATGGGGTACATAATAAAGGAACTAAACTCTTGCATACATCTGAAGTTCACCTAACTTAAACGTAGTTTTGTAAAACCCCCTCCCCTCATACTGTTCCATATTTTGACTATGGAGTAGTCTAATTATGGTGCTAAAAACACTTTGTAAACGTAATACTGTCATTGAAGATAAAACTTCGCGAATTTGTAGAAAGTTGACTGACACAGTTTACTAAAATTAAAGCATAAATAGCAGTTTGCAGCAATATTAAGATGAAATGCTTAATGTGCATAAAATTAGTAAAAAAAATTAACCTAGCTTTAGACCTAAAATTAAACCTTGTTAGTTATGTATAAAACTGGAAACTATAATGCTGGTCAGAATATTAATTAACAGTAACTTTAGGTTAAACGACGCAAGGCCGGCTTCTTGGCGTGGTTCTGGGCCCCCACACAGCCGGCGGCGTTGGAAAGTTGCGTGCCTCGGGATTCGGCTAAAACTAGACCCCGGAAGAAAAAGTCGCTACCAATGTCTTCTCCCAATAAGGATAAACTTTCAGAGGTTGGTTGGTGGGCGATGCATCAGGAATGGTATCTGAAATTGCCTGATGTACGGTAAACAGAAGAAATTTGGGAGATACATATTTAAGTGTAGGACTTACATTATACTTTGTCTATATAAAATATGAATTTTCTAGGGAGAAGAGAGGAAGCTACCTCAAAGAAAATCTGAAGATAAAACAATGACTTACCACGACCTCCTCAACGACTTGTTAGACTACTGCTCCGATGAAGATTCGGACTACTCGGTGAGTGAGGCACATTTATTCTAGACTCTTGTCATAATTAAGAGTATGGCCTTGCTACATGGCAACTTGACGAGGGGTAACGATTTCAACTTCAGAGTTGAAATCGTTTAGTCTAGTTTAGTTTTATTTCAATTCTAGTTTATCTGCTTTACTAAAATATTAAATTTCTACCAGCCCAAGGAGACTTCAACAGACAGTTTGGCGTACCGCTCGACTGAAAGTGAAGAATGTGAAGTTTCTTTAACGGAAGAAGACTTCAAGAAATCTGCAGTGGATGGGGGAAAGAACACTGTAGAAAACTTGAATGCCACCGCGGAGGAATCTAACGTCGGTCAGATAAAGATCATAGTGACCGATCACGAGGCCGAAGGGTCACAACAACAACAAGAAGAGCAAGAGCAGCAGCGCGATGGTGTAGGAAAATGTGTTGATGGCAACACAAACTGATATTTGCAAGGTCTTAGTTTGAATTGATGTTCGTATTCTAATTTATTAAGTGCATGCAGGTCTCTTTATCTAAATTAGTTGGCAAATTGCAATTTGCTGATAACTAGCAAAATTGACTTGGTAGTGCCTTAATTTGTAAAGGTTTAAATTGAATTGGGAATAGAAATGTAGTAATTTATGCCTCTTAAACATGTTGGTTATATACCAGAATTTTAATGATTATGGAATTAAATGTTGCATTTTTTTAATACTTTCATAAACACCCTGAGGGTTGAGAAGGAAGTAGTGCATTAGTTCACATACAGCTCTAGAAAATATAAGTGTCCTCGTGGCCGTCGCCTTCCACAATATTGACCATAGGATCGGATTAATGGCTACTTTGCAGGTGGTTTAAAGTGGCTGGTCTAGTTTCCAATAAAGTAATATGCTTCTCAAAAGCCAGACATGTATAAATTATATATATGATATATATATATATATATAATTATGATATGATATATGATTATATATAATGATATATGGTATATGATATATCAAGAGGATAAATTATAAAAATGTTGTAGATTCCTTCTCGCCTTGGCCTGTAAAAAAATATAATTGACATCCTTGCCGAGATTGCAGTAAATAGTATTGAACGGAATCTTATCAAATAGGTCCCTAAAGTGTCATTAGACGAGAACTCTTAAATGAATTTGGAAAAAAAAGTAAAATGGCGCAAACTGGAACTAGCAGGTCCATTGTTTATCACAATGAAATGTGTGAAGTAAAACATGTATGGGGAAGTAACAATCGGCAGAATAAGACGTTGCCACGGCTCGAATAAGATTTGGCTAAAAGTATCTTTGGCAGTTCGTCTTGTATAGGGATTTAGTGTGTGGACACACACTAAACATTATCATGGAATGTAGAAAATTTGAGCCATTTAGAGATGAATGTAAGCTCACGCTGTATATGGCAACCTATCCTATTACAAAGGATAAAATGCCTGAAATTCTTGCACTGCTCATATTTAAATTACCCCCCCCCCCACTCCCTGTCTGGCCCATTGTCGCCGTGAAGGGGGGGTTTAGTGAGTGGCTGCCGGAGTGTGATGCTCCTTAAGTCCTGTCCTTTTGTGGCCTTGTGCTCCTGCTGCTGTCCTCTCTAATTCTGCTGGACAACTTTTCCTTTTTTTTTCTACCCCCCTCCCCTTCTCTCTTCTCGTTGTCATATCCCGCTGACCTTGTGCCTGTTTTGATTTCAGTCTCCGTGGTGTAGTGGTAAGACACTCGCCTGGCGTTCCGCGAGCGCTATGTCATGGGTTCGTATCCTGGCCGGGGAGGATTTACTGGGCGCAAATCCTTAACTGTAGCCTCTGTTTAACGCAACGGTAAAATGTGTACTTGGATGGAAAAAAAGATTCTTCGCGGCAGGGGATCGTATTCCAGGGACCTGCCCGAAACGCTACGCGTACTAGTGGCTGTACAAGAATGTAACAACTCTTGTATATGTCTCTTAAAAAAAAAAAAAAAAAAAAAAAAAAAAAAAATCATTCTTTTGGCCTTTTGACACCTGGGTGTTTGAAGAGGCATACTCTTGCACCCGTAGAACTGTAGTACCCAACGTCTCGAGCAAGGGGAACCTTTTATTGTCAATCCCCCTTTCGTCAAAGAATCTGATCTTGACAGACTGACGGTTCTTAAGGTGGCGTTTGTGGGGCGTATACTCACGATGCACCCCGGGGGGAGTCCCTGCCAAGCTTGGCAACATGTCTCTTGTTGGGTGTTCAGCTGCTTCCAACTGTGGTGGGTGTGGGGGGGGGGTATATTCGTGAATGAACGTCTTTCTTCTCGTCTGTTGCAATCTGTTCCTCCTTTTTTACCTTCTCAGGCTCGTGGGGTGGGAGACCAAGCTCCCGAGTCGGACTGTTGGAAGACTGTAGCCCCCGCTCCATTGGGCCCCGACCTTGCTCCTTCTTTGACCCTCCTGACTACTCCCCTCGGCTCCCCTCCTTCCTCTGTGGTTGGGTCGAGCCCCAAGCCCCCAGTGATGACCACCTCGTACCCTGGCACGGCTCGGTCTCTAGTTGACTACTGTGCCTTTTAACCCCCCCCCCCCCTCTCTGGGGGTTCTCAACGCCGTCCTCGCCTCGGCCGCACTTGCAGAATGTTTGGTAATGTTTATTGTTTGTGATGTGTGTATATGTATGTATTAACACGATGTACTGAACGGGGTGAGAATAGCTTGAGCTACCTCATCCATTACATAGCCTTCCCGGTTTGGTGCCTTCTTTTGATAATTGCTTACCTCATCCATTTGTGTGTTTTTTACATCAATAAACTTATTTCAATTTCAATTCGAATACAACGTTGTCAAAATTTCAAAGCAATTGGTAAAGAGGTTTTCGAACATTTCCCTAGCATGAAAAATTAAAAAAAAAAAAAAAAAAAAAAAAAACTTTTTTCCCATCACCGACGTGACGTCTATATATTATGTTTATAAAAACCCGCTCGGGTGAAAATGAAACGTTGTGTGAAAATTTCAAAGCAATTGGTGAACTTTCGGATATTAGCAATTTTGAACAAACTAACTTTTACATTTTTATTCATATAGATGTGCGAAGGGCACAATACCTGCCCGAATAGCCACTGCTCTATTCCAGATTCTTATCACACTGTCGTGGGTTTTCCCTTTCCTCCAATGCCAGCTCCGACTTGTAATTGATGCTGTATCGTCCTGGGCCACTAATCATGACTTCCGGTTTTCTAAAACTTGCTAATTTTCATTTGGAAGGTTGTTGTTCGTCCCCCCCGTCCCTTTCCAATTGTTGCTATATGGTAGTCCCCTTCTGTATAGCTACTGCGGAACTTTCAAGGTTGATCTTTGACACTCGTTTGGTTTTGATCTTACCTCAGTCGAATACCCTAAGGCCCTTGCATTACTTTAGTCTTGTCCCGTGCTTCCTGGGAAGCTGATAGATGCACTCCTTTCATGCTGTCTAAAGTAGATTTATGGCTGCCCTGCCTCTCCTTTGACCCTTTGCCGTCCAGATGCTCACCATGCTGGGTTGTGCCGCTGCTCTGGTGCCTTTCATTTGTCCCTTACCCAGAGCTTGTGTTGAAACTGGCATCTTGCTGCTACAGGATCGTCGGGATTGTGAATGCCTTTGCTACCTCTCATTCCCCTGCATCACCCTCATTCTCAAATTGCAGAGCTTTGGTTGTGGCCCCTCTGCTAGGCTTTGTTCCCCTTTTACCACCATCCTTTTTCTATAAGGATGTCTTGCTTAAAAGCCTTCCTTTTTGGCATGTTTGTACTTTCTCATGTCATTCCATCTGTAAAAGCAGTACAAAGCAGAACAGCAACAGTTGGCGACGCCCTCAGCTGTTCCGACTAGTTGGTTATACAGTGAAAATTCTTACCTCGGTCGGGGGTAACCCAGGGCTAGGTCATCTCCGGTGAACGGCGAGGTCACGCGGTTCAGGAATGATGCAGCCATAGTAATCCATGAGGATTACCTCTTCCACACCAAGCGAGGCAGAGGATTTTGCAAGCCCTGTTCGGCTGTACATAATGGTGAATTCAAATGAAGGAAAACTGTGGGGACAGTGGGGTGTGATAGATTCTGGGACAAAAAAGTACCTCGGTAGTGGAATTTACTGTGGTAGCAAGTACAGCTCTCCTGTACCCAGCACCGGACATTTGCTTCAGTCTGTTAAGAAACAGGAAATGTGTTTTAAGTGATAGTAATTTTTTTTAGTGTCATTTGCTTGTGCATTAATGGTACCTGCCGACGTGATACTGGGCTTAATGTTATTCGCCCCCCCCCCCTTTTGACAGTTCCCTATTAAGGTGTCAATATTAATGTCCTGCAGTGCTCCCCTTATTCTATATAGTACACCTAAGTGGTTTAAAGATTATTAGAATGTCAGATCCTATTACCATTTTAGTTGCTTACACCTTGTCCTGGTAGGATGTTTACATCTATGAGTCCTCACGTCTCTTCCCCGGTTCCCTGTCTGGTAATTCCAGGTGGTGGCGGCGCCAATTGGGTAGTCATGTGAACTGTAACAGCTAATTACTTCTCTCGCTCTCCCTCCAGTTGATCTGAGCTCTAAGTAAACATCTTGAGTGATTAATTAATTTAATGTTATGTATGACATACTAGTGATATTACAATTGCAGCAGTCATTGCAAAGTAGTAATCATTACACATCCTTGCCACCATGGATGGTCCCACATTTAAAATTTTGCAAGACTTGCATGGTAAAAGCTTCTTCCTATTATGATATGCATTTCCTTTACATTCCATTACTTTATTCACAGATGGATTCAAATTACCGACTGTGTTTGCTATTCCGTAGTCTTTCCAAACGAAACCTATGTGCCATCTGGCCCCCCTGGAGGCTAGCATCTTCACTGCTGATCTGTGTGATTTTGTATGCTAGTCAATTGCTTTTCCAACGTCAATGCTGCTTTGTCACTGTGGTTGACTCTCGCAGTGTTCTCATGGCTTTGGAGTCATTTAATCATATGCATCCTTAATATGCATATGCATATTTAATCATATGCATATGCAGGTAGTCAAAATCCATTATTGGCTATTTCTTATCTGAACATTTAAGATAGCCGAGTTTTGTTGGGTTCCCAGCCACATTGGTATTACCTGAAATGAGTATGGACTAGTTGCTTTAGGAGGCTATCTGGACTTGACTAATTTTTTCATAAAGGCATTCCTTATTTGGGTTTTCACCTAGTAAGATCTATGAATGAAACCGTTGGCAGAGTTGTTGGTCTCGAGTGTGCTCTTAAGGGTAGCTTTCCTTCTACCATCGTAATGCTGTGGGAAAGGGCTCTGGGTAGGTTACGTATTGGCCATACACGCTTAACTGGAAGGCACTTAATGGAAAGCTGTCCCTGCTTCTTACTGTCCGAACTTATCCCTTAGTTGTGCACCACCTTGTAGAACGTCCTGATTTTCATGACATTCACGTGTTTTGTTTCCCAAATGTTCCCCATGGTCATTTGTTTGATAGAATCCAGGCTTCCCGGTTTGGTGCCTTCTTTTGATAATTACTTACTTGATAGAATCCAGTAAATTTGATACCTTTAATACCACTTGCCTTACGTGAATTTTGTTCTCGCATTGGCATTCTCAGTGATATTTAGCACCTTTTGCATATCCGGCAACACTAATGGTGCAACATAGTCTCCCCAGATTGATGTCTTCTTTCGATAATTACTTCTGGGTGATTTCTTGGTAAAGGTGATGGTGACAATTGACTGCTACCTGTCTCTCTTCAAGGGGCCACATTTTTGCTCTGGTAGGCCAACAACAACTGTGATTAAGTATTGGGAAGCAACATATCTTCAAGGAGTCATTAAGGGGCTCCCCCCCCCCCCAGAAAAAAATGCTTTCAACCATTCAGAGATATTAACCAGCTCTCAATATGATGAACATTGGTAGAAAAAAGTGTACTGTATAGTACCATTTATTACAATTATATTTACAAACATTTGTGATGCATCGAGTTACACCAGAACAGTCTTGAGATGCAAGACTGAATGATTCAAAAAGGATTGTACCCAATGCCGGTATTTAATGAGAATTTTTTCTTAAGGTGACGAGGACGTCTGCTTTCAGCTTCTTGAATCATTTTCTGGACGTCACATCTGAAAAAGAAAATGTGCAATGAGCTACAAAATAAAAATGCAATTGGATACTGTAAATAGACCTACACATGCTAATGTATTATGAAGATATTGGAATCACTTGACGTTGGAGGCAATTAAAATAAGCTCAATAAATAACACTGGTAGCTTCGTTTACGAATTTAATCCATTCTTAGAGATAACTCGTAAACCAAAAATTCGCAACCCGAAATGAATTTTCCCACAAGTTTTATTAATCTGTTCCACACTTCCAAAAAATATTAACTTCAAAATACATTTCATACATAAAACACACAAATATTTTGTTCTATGTTATGTACAAGTTATAGTTTACCTTTATTGATGACTCTTGCTGGGATATGGAAGACAGTGAGGAGGGTGGGGAGTAGGAGAGGTGATAGTGTTTAGAAGGGAAGTCCCCTTCCATTATAACATCAGGCAGTGATGATTTCTCTGGGGTCACTCACTCTCTCTTCTACGTTTTGCCTGCATACCACTAGGACCTGATTGTGGCTTGCTGCTTGTTTTTCTCACTAAGAACCTTTCCATAGACTTGTTTTTTCCCTACATTTTAACACTTGTCTGTAGTGAGGCATCACAGCATCATTAAAAAGGTTAAGGCAACGGCATACTGCAGCTTGATTTGGGTGAATCATTTTAACAAAACTTTGCATTTCTTCCCATACTGCACACCACTTCTTAATTGTTGATGAACTCGTGGTGCGGTACATAAATAATTTTGTTTAGAAAGCTGAAAAACAATGAAATTCTTTACAAAGAATTTAAGTGCGATCATCACTAAAGCAAGAGCCACTGGTAAACTGAAGCATGGTCACCTGTGCCACCAAGAACCATGCGCTTGGTTGACCCATACGTGTATCAACAAGCTCGCAGGTAAACCGATTCAAATTTTACAAAGAAATTGAGCTCGTAACCCGAAAAATTTGTAAAGAGGGGCATTCATAAGCCAAGGTTCTACTGTACTTCATGGCAGCATCTGCATAAGAAAGCCTAGATAACATCCCAACTCCTATAAAGATGCTTGATGTTCAGGAGAAGAACGAGTTAAGGACTCCAAAGTTTCAGGACAGGATTTAGTCTAAAATTGTAAGGCAGCAAACTAAAAACATTTTTTCCATACATTTATTTATTTATATATTTTTGTAGAAAATCCCTTGACCAAGGAAAAGTGCACTCAAGGACATTTCCATGATATCTTTCTTGAAAAGCATAGAAAGGTGCAGCAGAAAACTACGTCAATCAGCCAAGTCTCATATATACAAAAACCTCAAGAAAATTCAAAGGAAAGCAATAGTGAACCATATCGGTGTACCCAATGTCGTCAAAATTCTGTATTAGAGCATGGGTTTAAGAAAAACTAACCTAGCCCAAAAAACCAACACTTTTCTCAATGGCAATCTATTATTCAAAGCAATGATTTCCAGTCAATATGTTATACAGGAAATTCTCCAAAACTTTTGAAAAAGCATTACATTAAATCTTGAACTGCACATGGCGTATAAATATGCCATGAGTAGCATGTCCCACAGTGCGCATGGTGTATCTATACGCCATAGGGTGCCAGGCAGGATTCAAATGGCCTGCGGCTACATGGGGTTCACATCAGCTTCCTCAGGGCTCTTGTAAACAGACGCCATGTTTAAAAAAAATCATGGGCAATATTGCCCGGTGTTAGAGCCACAGTACTGTTGGAGCAACCAAGGCTGGGAATGCAGCATGAGCTAACAGCATTGCTGTTCAGCTTGTGACCACAGCATTGCCTAAAAATGTCAAAATAACTAACTGCTATTATATTATAACTGCAAAATAGTAACTGCTATTATTTAGCGATGATAGTATTACAGATGACTCCTGACTGATAAAAATGACCAGGATTGTGATAATAGCAGGATTGTTGTGATAATTAGCGCTGTGTGGGAGTAGTAATGCTGTGGGGAGGGAGGGAGATAGCGTCGTTTACTGACTGTGTGGCCACCTGTTATTGTCTGCATTCACCATACCAGCTCAGTGGTTCTCTATGGTGAACACAAATGTAGATACTTATATATAATGTGTGTATTAGTGTAATAACAGCAAAAGGATTATGTTGGGAGGAGTCATTTGGGTGACGGCGATGGCGTCGTCTGCATGATTTGTCTAGCTGTGTAGAGGGTGGCCATTATGCACCCTACAAGCTTAGGTGTACAGTTACGGTGCATACAACATGTAGATACTTTTATATAATGTGTGTATATAGTGTAATAACACCCCAAACAGTATTGTTGGGGGAGAAATTTAGTGCACCTGACCTTGAATGAGTGAGGGAGGTAGCCACTAGCTGACTAAGTGTAGCGATGTCTCTTAGTTCCTGAACTAACTATATCAGCTTAGCTGTACAGTTGTGGTGAACAAAACATGCAGATACTTATATATAATGTGTGTACATAGTGTAATAACTGCAAAACTATTTGTTATTTGTTTTATGAACGTAATAATTGAACAACTAATATGAACACCATACTTTTGAGTATAGCGATGATTCATACATTTTATTATATAAATCTATCACACTACACACTATTGAATAATATTACTGCAAAAAACTAAGAAAAAATCAATCAATCCCCACTATATATATATATATATATATATATATATATATATATATATATATATATATATATATATATATATATATATATATATATATATATATATATATATATATATATATATATATATATATATATGTATATGTCGTACCTAGAACCCACTTCTCAGCCTACTATGCAAGGCCCGATTTGCCTAATAAGCCAAGTTTTCATGAATTAATTGTTTTTTGACTACCTAACCTACCTAACCTAACCTAACTTTTTCTATATATATATATATATATATATATATATATATATATATATATATATATATATATTATATATATATATATATATATATATATATATATATATATATATATATATATATATATATATATATATATATATATATATATATATATAAACACACAAATACATACATAATAGAGTTCTTACATTACTGTAAAGCCACAAGCATACACAACATTTCAGGCAGGTCCATAATACAGTACTAATTTTTCCCCAGAATACGACCCGCCATATTGTTTAACAACCAGGTAAGCTTGACGGAATAGCTTCCTTCCTCTCAATGTTTGATGATGATGCAAACATTAAGAGGAGGATAAATGTGATGGAAGACTGAAAGTAACCACAGGCTAATCTGGACATAATGAAACAATGGTCCCTCAAGTGGTTTTTCGAGTTTAACTAAATCAAGTACAGGACAGTACAAAGTAATGAAGCTAGGAACTGGGAACAGGAGGCTTAACACAAGATACCACATGGAAAAGAAATTTTTCTGGAATTGGACAGAGAAAACAACTTGGGGTTGATATTACAGAACATCAAGAATATTACAGAATTTTGCGATTCAACCTTATAAATACCTGTAGACATCAAAGAGACGAACCGCGAAAAGGTCAGGGCAAACCATGAGAAACCAATGCCTTCCAAGAAGCTACTTATGCATTTTGATGTGTTAAATTAACAAATAAAAATTAAGTGCCCATTAGCTATTGTTTTGTGTGTAAGGGTGCTAACAAAATCTTAGATTCACTAAGTGATAGATGCTGAAAGTTTCTCTCCCATGCTCCAGTAATGGACAGAGTGGTCAATCTCTCAAGGCACAGTGGGAGTCTCTTGCACAACTATACCACTCTTAAAGAAAAGAGTAGAACTTTCTGTATCTACCCTACAGACCCCATCACAAGAGCAATAACCTTCAAGTCACTACAGAGCTGGCATTGATGTTGATCATTGTTTATGCACCTCAATAGTTGCTTTATGTTGTCATAAGTTTCCTTCATATGGGCTGCATTACCATATGGAATTGAAGGCAAAACACTCCCATTATGCAGCAAAACAAGTTTAAGACTTGTCTTGAATGAAAACTAGAGCTACTCAACAATTTTAAACATCATTTCTGTTGTCAGTGACCTAGAATTAGTCAAGACTGACTTCATTTGCATTTTGCAAATGAAAAGTCTACAGCCTTTGTAGAAAAACTAGTCTACAACGAAGAGACCTGGTCGACAACCGGGCCGCGGGGTCGCTGAGCCCTGGAATCACTGCAAGGTAACCTCAAGGTAAGGTACAGCCAAAAAGCTGTATAATAGTTGTTATGAAAGGGTTTGTGCTTGTGAACAAACAATTGAAACATCAGCCTATTCTGGGTGGATGACACTAGCACAAGTGACTTCCAAGCACCATCTATGACCTTTGATGACTCTGTAACCCCTGTGACAACAGTCAAGCAAGCATGCAAGCAAGGTGCTTGCTTGACTTTAGAATATTATTTAGATTAGATTATTGCATTTACTTTTGGGTCATGCAGTAACCTATGAGAGCAGTAAAACATGCTCAGAAAGGTTCAGAACTTCAAAGCTTATGTTCACTGCACATTTATCTATTTTTTTCCATCAGATATCTATAAAACAGAACATTATGGATCAATATTTTTTTGAATATGCATACCTAAATGATGGTGGCTTAATCTCTTCATGAAGAGTGCATTTGAAGTGTGGAAGTGGCTCAATCCTTGACAGAAAATTCCGCACTAGGTCAACATCTCTGTTGCAGTTGTCAGTTATATCACCAATGGTAGTGGGCGGTGCAGCAAACTTAATCAAAATGTAGCTGGAATAAATAAGACATTTCTGTAATTTAAACGAATGTTTGGAGCAATCTGAGGATGCAGCATCAGACAAATCAAACTGATATTACAAAACATAAATCCCCAGATTGTGATATCCTGCCTCATTTTTCATTCACCCCCACTCGTACACACACACAAACCATAGACTAAGTAATAATAGTTACATGACAAAAGAGAGGGCCTTATAATGATCCTGAAAGTGATAAGAGTAAGAGCAGGTATGGATAACTCACAATTGTTGATACATGTTCTTGGTGACTTCAATTTAAAATCAGTAGACTTGAAAGTTTATGAAGCAAGAAAGGAGGACTTTTGGACCAGCTGATTTGTAAACCTCATTCTGGAGACATTCATGTACCAACATGTTAAACAGATATGAGACAGAGAAGGGACTGCTTCATCAATGCTGGATTTGATATTTAAAAGGAAAGAAGATGAGATGTTTGACATTCAGTACCTTTCCTCCTTGGGTAAGAGTAACAATGTTCTTTTTTTTGGCAATTGAATATGCTATCTATTATAATCTACAAGAGAATGGGAATAAGTTAGTTAAAAAACCAGCGTTGAATGTAATGAAATGTCATTTTCTGGGTGAGAGCCGGAGCCTCCCCTGAGCTATCCAGACTGATATGGATATATTAGACTTTGGCATCAGTCAATGTGCATGGCGTTCTAAGCCTACCGGGGATCATGAGCCGGAACTTGGCCACCTCAGGGATTGATAAGGAGCAATGGCCTATAGAATCCCCATGTGGTTGGAACATTCTGTGTGTGCCATCGACCGGGTTAGATACCCAGAAAGGTAAGCGCTCCAAAACAAACCCCTATTCTGGTTAGCATTGCTACTGAAAGCCGAACTAGTGGACATAACTCCCCAAATGAAAACTAGCAAACGAGTATGACGTCACCACGTCGCCGCACCGCTGTCTGCACCCCCCATCACCGGGAGAGGGGAAGGGAGAGCTCCAGACCAAAATTGATTGAATGTGTAAGCCAGTGATATATTTTTAATTTGTTTTAAGACAGAAAGGTGTATATTAGGGATTAACGTGGGATCCAAACATAACAAGTAACAGTGGCTTACCTGACAGCAATAATGGTGACATTAAAAACTATTATCTGACAGCAATAATTTTTCGTGTGTTTTGACATGTGAAAAACCGCCGACCGGAGGGAAGGAGGGTTGCCGGGGAGCCTCTGGGTCTCACCCAGAAAATGGCGTTTCATTACATTCAATGCTTGTTTTCTGGGGGGAGCCCCTGCAGATCCCCGGAGTTACTTAGCTAAAGGCAAAACAAAAAGGGACTTACCCGGGAGGCAGTCGGCTCTCGCTCAACTCGAAGTCGAGACAACTGGCTGTAACCCCCAACCCATTGCGACAAGCCCAACTGGGCCCAGGAACATTAACAAGGTAGTGAGCGGCTAGAACCCTGTTTGACCTCCAAAAACCCTGTGCCCGAATGTCAAATGTCAGCCCAAGACATGTTACCGAATATGGCAGCCAACGCAGCAAACTTACGCATGTCGTGGGCACAAGGATAAACCGCAGGCTGGCTGGACCGAATAACTCTCTGGACGACCTTAGAGACCCGCGCCCTGGAACTGGGAAGAAGGGAACCTGGGATCATCCCAAAGCGCGTACCCTGCCACCAAAGCCATGGAGCGCAGATAACGACGGAGAGCTGCAACCGCACACACACATAATGCACCCTCGGCTTAACCAACCAAGCATCAACAACTCAAGGACCCCCCTCCGAAAAGCAACAGACTCGTTCTTCCCCAGAAAAGGGGATGGCTCCGAATGAACAAATCGACTACCAGGACCAAAATAAGAAATACCGGAAGGACCGCCAGGAAACTTCATATTGCCGCCGAGACTAAGCCTGCAGATGGGACACCACCAACGAAGCCACCTGTGCACCATACAAGTGATGATAGACCTAAGTCAAAAAGCCCAGACGCGAAGACTCGAGGATAAGAGTGAACCAGCCACATACCGGGCTGGACCGATCTGCTGAAAGAGACGGAGCCACAAGAAGAGCCTTGGATTCGGACACTGAGCAAGCAACACCTGAAACCAAGGTTGAGCCGGTCACCAAGGGGCCAGAAGGACAACTCTCCCCAAGTAAGTCTCCAAGCGAGACATTTCTTTAAGGAAATTGACTGGAAAGACTTGCTATTAGGAAATGAAGTAAATGAGATGTATGTCAAGTTTTGTGAAAAATATGATAAAGGCACAATTTTTTTTTATTCCAAAGCAAAGATGCAGAACTAGGAAACAGGATTGGTTCGACAGAAATTGCGAAAGGGCAAGAGACCAAAAGATACAAAAATGGAATCAATATAGGAAGAGGCCAAACCCCCAAACATACCAGCGATACAAAGATGCGAGAAACAACTACACGGCAGTGAGGAGAGAGGTAGAAAGAAATTTTGAAAAAGGGATTGCGGACAAATGTAAAACAGAACCAGGTCTATTCTATAAATTCATAAACAACAAATTGCAGGTTAAGGATAATATTCAGAGGTTGAAAATGGGAAATAGATTCACAGAAAATGAAAAGGAAATGTGTGAAACATTAAACAAAAAGTTCCAAAGTGTGTTTGTACAAAATGAAATCTTCAGGGAACCAGGCACAATAAGAATTCCAGAGAACAGCATAGAGCACATAGGTGTCTAGAGATGAAGTGGAGAAAATGCTAAAGGAGCTAAGTAAGAACAAAGCAGTTGTCCAGATGGAGTTTCACCATGGGTTCTGAGAGAATGTGCACCTGAGCTCAGCATTCCACTTCACCTGATTTTTCAGGCATCCCTATGTAAAGGAGTTGTAGCTGATGTGTGGGAAAAAGGCTAACATCGTCCCAATCTACAAAAGTGGCAGCAGGGAAGACCCCCTCAATTATAGACCTGTATCATTAACAAGTGTAATAGTCAAAATATTGGAAAAAATAATTAAAACTAAATGGGTAGAACACCTGGAGAAAACGATATAATATCAGACAGACAGTATGGTTTTCGATCTGGAAGATCCTGTGTAATGAATTTACTCAGTTTCTATGATCGAGCCACAGAGATTTTACAGGAAAGAGATGGTTGGGTGGACTGCATCTATCAGGACCTGAAAAAGGCTTTTGACAGAGTTCCACATAAGCGGTTGTTCTGGAAACTGGAACATATTGGAGGGGTGACAGGTAAGCTTCTAGCATGGATGAAAAATTTCCTAACTGATAGAAAAATGAGGGCCGTAATCAGAGGCAATGTATCGGATTGGAGGAATGTCACAAGTGGAGTACCACAGGGTTGTTCTTGCACCGGTAATAATGTTCATTGTCTACATAAACGATCTACCAGATGGAATACAGAATTATATGAACATGTTTGCTGATGATGCTAAGATAATAGGAAAGATAAGACACCTAGAAGATTGTCATGCCCTTCAAGAAGACCTGGACAAAATAAGTATATGGAGCACCACTTGGCAAATGGAATTTAATGTGAATAAATGCCATGTTATGGAATGTGGAATAGGAGAACATAGACCCCACACAACCTATAAATTATGTGAGAAATCTTTAAAGAATTCTGACAAAGAAAGGGATCTAGGGGTGGTTCTAGATAGAAAACTGTGACATGAGAACCACATTAAGAACATTGTGCGAGGAGCCTATGCTACACTTTCTAACTGTAGAATTGCTTTCAAATACATGGATGGCGAAATACTAAAAAAAATTGTTCACGACTTTTGTTAGACCAAAGCTGGAATATGCAGCGGTTGTATGGTGCCCATATCTTAAGAAGCACATAAACAAACTGGAAAAGGTGCAAAGACATGCCACCAAGTGGCTCCCAGAACTGAAGGACAAGAGCTACGAGGAGAGGTTAGAGGCATTAAATATGCAAAAACTAGAAGATAGAAGAAACAGAGGCGATATGATCACTACGTACAAAATAGTAACAGGAATCAATAAAATTGATAGGGAAGAATTCCCGAGACCCGGAACTTCAAGAACAAGAGGTCATAGATTTAAACTAACAAAACAAAGCTGCTGGAGAAATATAAGAAAATTCTCTTTTGTAAACAGAGTGGTAGACGGGTGGAACAAGTTAGGTGAGTAAGGTGGTGGAGGCCAAAACCGTCAGTAGCTTCAAATTGTTATATGACAAAGTGCTGGGTAGACGGGACACCACGAGCGTAGCTCTCATCCTGTAACTACACTTAGGTAATTACTAGTGAATGTCGCCCCGAGACAAGAGGACAGAGCAACCTTCAACTCGCAAGAAGTGAGGGGGTGGGGGGACTCAAGGGTCACATCCATGTGACCATGGAGCCCCCTTGGGGTTTCCCAGGGGCCCTTAGCCATTTTAACACGTTAAGGGAAGCCCAGGAAGGGTACTGCGAACCGGCACCCAAGTCTACCAAACGAACTTCTAATTGCTGAACCTCTGGGACGTGTCCATGCACGGGGGCCTAGTGAGAGAATCCACCAACACAAGAAAACACACACCGATCCCAACAACAGATAGGGCGAGGACAAGGCAGAGCCCCCTCCACCAGACAGGAACAAACAAAAACAAAAGAAAAACCCTGCAAGAGGACAACTCAGGCAGAACAGAGCCGGCCGCTATAAAAGGTGATAACTAGCTATGCAGTACCCTGTGCCTTACCAGTGATGAAAACTACCTCCAACCCAGAGAAAAACAATGGCAACAAAACCACAGCTGACCCCAAGGGCGGCCAAGTACCGAGCAGTAAAAAACACAGCGGAGGTAGATCCCAAGGAGATTTGTGGAAGGAGGCCCCCAAGTCCCAAGGGCAGTACTTACAGGGCACCTAGGGAAGGGAATCTTGGACACATGCAGCTCGAGTACCATGGAATATTACTCCTGGCTCGCACACCATCTGTAGAGACAGCCCACACCACAAGGCACAGAACTGAAACAAAACAAGAGCCAGAGGCACACGTCTTCCCCTGAATCGCATCATCCAAGAACTGCCAGTTGAATCGCTGGTGCGGGGGGTCTGGGGCTCCCCCCTTCCCCTCCCAGGGAGGGAGTGGTTGCACAGATGACGGCGCAGCGACGTGATGACGTCATGCTAGTTTGCTAATTTTGTTCGGGGAGTTCTGTCCACTCGTTCGGCTTTTGGTAGCAATATTTTCCCCATAATAGGGGTTTGTTTTGGGGCGCCTACCTTTCTGGCTGCCTGTCCCAGTCGATGGCAGACATAGAATGCTCTTAACCACAGGGGGGATTTCTATAGGCCACTGCTCCTCGTGCCTCTCTGAGGGGGACCAGGTTCTGGCTCTGGCTTAGGAGCCGGAGGGGCTCCCCCCAGAAAACCAGCATTGAATGTAATGAAACGCCATTTTTTGGGTGAGTCCCAGAGGCTCCCCGGCATCCCTCTCCCCCCTCCGGTCAGCTGTTTTTCAAGTTTTTTGACATTCAGCCTCAGAACTGAGGGTGGATAGCTGGCGCGATGGGTCTGGAGCTCCCCCTTCCCCCTCCCGGGGAGGGGGGAGCTGCGCGGACAGCGGCGTGGTGACATGTGACGTCATGATTGTTTGCTCGTTTATTTTAGGAGAGTTATATCCACTTGTTCGGCTTGTGGTAGCAATTTTCACCAGAACAGGGGTTTGTTTTGGAACGCTTACCTTTCTGGGTGCCTAACCCGGTCGATGGCAGACATAGAATGCTTCCAACCACACTGGGGTTTCTATAGGCCATTGCTCCCCTTGCCTCTTCTGAGGGGACCAGGTTCTGGCTCGTGAGCCCCAGTAGGCCCATAGAACTCCATACACATGACTGATGCCAGAGTCTGACATTATCATATCAGCCTAGTAAGCTCCGGGGAGCCGGAGGGGCTCCCCCCCAGATAATTACGGTAAAACCTACATACAGTGGGATTAGTGTCTCAACCAACTCAAGTGCTAAAAGCAAGGTATGGCATCTATAACTGTGGATATTATGCTAAGAATCTTAAGATTAATTTATATCAAATAAGATTTAATGAACATCATGATGTTCACCTGCCAATAGAAGCACTGTATGGTACCCAGTTAGCTTCTCAAAAGTTGAATGTAATGAGGATAATGAATCAAATAACTGTACTTACTTTCCTTTTGTGTGGACTTGTCCATGTGCTGACATCTTGTAAGGCAGGTCTTTAGTGCCTAAACTTTCAATCTTGCTCACATAACCTCCTTCATTGATGACTGACTCAGCAACCCTCTTTATTGCCTCTACCAATCTAGCCTTAAAAGAAAGCAAAAATAAATAGGGTCATCCTTAATCCCAGTACTGTGCAGCCTTCACACGAGACCTTCCCGTGGTGTGCAAGACAAAAATAATTTCCAAGGTTATTTTTTTTCCTTTCTGATAGTTAAAATACATTTCCTGATCTTAAGAAAAAAAATAGTAAGTGGCATACTCTGGCCATGATAGAGCAGGGAAGTTGAGCAATTTATGGACACTAAAGTGAGTAGGTACTCGGAGACATTAGCCCCAACAACCTGTATCTCACTAGCCCCTAGCAGTTGCAGCAAATATATTTTTTCATAATTATTTCAGTCTCTTAATTGCTTTTTCTCTGTTTTTTGCTATAATATTGTTCAATAGTATGTAGTTTGAGAAATGTATATACAGTACTGTAATCAAATGTGTGCAACATGGCTATGCTTGAAAATATGTAGCACATATTAGTCACATACAAAGAATATTCTTAGGACAATAAAAGACAGTATTGTTGCTGTCCTTACACTATATCACACATTATCTAAATTTGTTAATAAATTTTTTAATAAAATAAATTAACAAATCTATCTAAATTTTTATGCACCATTTCGAACCACTAAGTTTCTGGTGAGCGTAATAAGCATATAACTGGTTATCAGAGTTCAGCCTAGCCCCGCATTCTTTACATGAAATTGTAAAAACGTACATTGAACATGTCATATTTTCTTCCTATTGTAAATGTTTTTACCATGTTTCTTTCAAATGTAATGATGCATTAAGCTGTCAATAATATTTGTATCACAGAATGTGTCGAATATTAAAACTAACAGATAAATCAGCAAAGATAAGGTAAATTACCTTCCGATAGCACAGGAATGTAAAGATCACACCGAACAAACTTCAAGTAGGGCAACTCAACTACGAGTAGGAAAAGTAAACAGCTACAAACCACTGTAATCAATTACATGCAGACAAGAAAGGGAGTAAGGAGCCATGAGCAAAATGTAAATAATCATAACACACCTCTCAAGCACATACTTTGGTAACCCTTAAACTGCTCAGCATAAGGAGGTATAATTCGAAAAATTAACTTTTTTAACTCTAAAATTACTTTTTTAATTAGGCTATATTTTAATGTTTTCATCACTCTTTGTGGTTTGAAATGAAAATGGTTGAGTTCGGAAACGTTTTGACATTAACTTTACCTGAACATTTATAAAAACAACAAAAATATATCCTTAACAATTGCACTATGAAGTTTCTGCCAAAAAACAGGAGCGCAATGCAGGGGGTTAACAAACCGACTGCTTCCCATCCCTGTCGAGGTCACTAGAAATGGTGCCCCTCAAGTAAATTCAGGATGACAAGGTTAGGTAGGGTAGGGTTATGTTAAATTAGGGAATACAGGTCACATCTTACACAAGATGGCTCGCCAATGAGCCCAAAACACTTTGCGTAATAGTACTTTAGGCATTGTATGTACTAGCTCTATAAATCCATCAACTTTTTGTATCTCACCTTGTATGTATGTACTTTACCTGAATAAATATTTGTATTTGTATTAAAACCTACTCAACTCTATCCAACCTAATCTAACTCAAACCAACCTTATCAAACCCAACTGGGCCTACCGCAGCCCAAAATAGGCTATCACATCCTAACCTAAAAATACCAGTATAAACCATTTTGACACAGAACGAGCTTTGTTTAACTGTCTTGCGTATGATTAAACAATACCCCAGATTAGGTTAGGCTAGGATTGCTTAGTTTTAAAATCCATTGAGAAAACCATGTAACATGGTAACCCACCCTATATAGGCTTATGTATGTATGAATTATATCATACATGTATGTATGAATTGTTGCATCATATCATTAGGTAGTCCTGTACCCATTGAAATAAGATTAGAAGTGATTCATAAGCCCCAAACGTGATACATCCGCAAATCGTCAACCATAACATTTTCCAATTATCTGAGAGAGAAAAGTATTTTTCAAACGACTTACTTTTATTAATGTATTTTAATCCCATTAATACCACCTACCTTAGACATGTTTCTCATTATCACAGACAACTCGTATAGAGACATGTCTACACTGTCACGTTTGATTCGACTGAGTAGTACTTTTCTTCTTGATGAAATATGTTCACTTAAATCTTAAATTCTTTTTTAAGAAGTGTATAATTTGCGCTAAATGCAAGAACAAAATCTTGAAGATATTTTCATACACATCCACACCGTCTCCAGCGTCGGCTTGCCAAGTCAGCCTCAATAATGTCATACATTTATCAAAATATAAACGTAATTCTCAGTGATATTTAGAACAGTTAACTATAATTATATTTTAACGTAATTCTAGTCTGATTTAAATGGTTATATTATTTTACTCTAAAAATCAATACAGGGAAGATAGTTTCAGTCATAAGTAATTATCCATAAACTATCCGTAAATGATACTGTTTTGGACTCAATGTGTTCAACACGGACACCTATCGTTTCGTATACAGATCTAAAGGGGGGGGGGGGGAGAGGAAGGGGAGATTCGAATAAACTTTTTTTCTCCCTCTCCTTTATTTAAAATGCCAAAAATACAATATATACATTGCAATAAAGCAAGGAAATATCCTCCTGGGTACTCCAAAGCACATGCCTTAAACCACTGGACCACGATGTGCTACGAAAGTAAGGTAACCTGCTACAGACCTTAAATTAAACAACGCGCCATTTGAGTTAGCAGTAGGTAAGGTGTAAGGAAGAAAGCCTTCATGTAAACTGCAAGTACCTTAATAAGGTGCGAGTGCCTGACAGTCTTATAGCATAAATGATTAGCAAACTAAAATATTACAAACAAGTCATACCCAAGTGTGCGTTATTACTCACCTAGTTGAGCATGCAGGGGTTGAGTTTCGGCTCTTTGGTCCCGCCTCTCTACCCAGAGTTACCAGGTCCAAAGTGCTGAAAGTAGCGAGCTGACGGTCTAAAAGTAACGAATTTGTAACAGGAGTAGCTCAATTTTTTGTTTAGTGACTGATACGGGTTTCAAAAGTAATATATTTTGATATATAGAGTACACTACACGATGTTAATTGTTTTATTAATATTATATAATATATATATATATATATATATATATATATATATATATATATATATATATATATATATATATATATATATATATATATATATATATATATATATATATATATATATATATATATATATATATATATATATATATATATATATATATATATTATTAAATATGACCGAAAAAGTAAGATTAATAATTCTAACACGAATTTTCTCAATATTTCGTACATTTCTTTTCACGGTTGGAGGTAAATCAAAAATCAATTCTCCAAAATTCATTTTTATTTCTAGTCTGACGCGACACGAGCGCGTTTCGTAAAACTTATTACATTTCCAAAGACTTTTAGTTTACAAATACACAACTGAATAGAACTTACACATCTCCTGGTTTCGTTTATATCTACATTTGAGTGAGGTGGATGGGGTGAGGTGGCATTAATAGGGTATTAATTTCATCAACACAAGACAGAACAAGAGGTGGCATTAATAGGGTATAAATTTCATCAACACAAGACAGAACACGAAACAATGGGTATTGAAATGGAAGTGATTGTAGAAAGCCTATTGGTCCATATTTCTTGATGCTTCTATATTGGAGTGGAGTCTTGAGGTGGGTAGAATGTAGTTGTGCATTAATTGGCTGTTGATTGGTGGTGTTGACTTCTTAATGTGTAGTGCCTCGCAAACGTCAAGCTGCCTGCTATCGCTGTATCTATCGATGTTTTCTGTGTTGTTTACTAGGATTTCTCTGGCGATGGTTTGGTTGTGGGAAGAGATTATATGTTCCTTAATGGAGCCCTGTTGTTTATGCATCGTTAAACACCTAGAAAGAGATGTTGTCTTGCCTATATACTGGGTTTTTTGGAACTTACAGTCCCCAAGTAGGCATTTGAAGGCATAGACGACGTTGGTCTCCTTTAAGGCGTTCTGCTTTGGGTCAGGAGAGTTTTTCATGAGTAAGTTGGCTGTTTTTTTGGTTTTATAGTAAATTGTCAATTGTATCTTCTGATTTTTGTCTGTAGGGATAACGTTCCTATTAACAATATCTTTCAGGACCCTTTCCTCCGTTTTATGAGCTGTGGAAAAGAAGTTCTTGTAAAATAGTCTAATAGGGGGTACAGGTGTTGTGTTAGTTGACTCTTCAGAGGTTGCATGGTGTTTCACCTTCCTTTTTATGATGTCTTCAACGAAACCATTGGAGAAGCCGTTGTTGACTAGGACCTGCCTTACCCTACAGAGTTCTTCATCGACTTGCTTCCATCCTGAGCTGTGGCTTAGAGCACGGTCGACATAAGCGTAGACAACATTCCCCTTGTACTTGTCTGGGCAGCCAACCCTATGCCCTACCAAGAACCCACCCGAAGCCGGACAGACACCCACCTGGAGCCCGAACAGTCACCCACCCGGAGCCCGCCAGCTGAGTGAACCGGGGCCCGCCAGTTGAATGAACTGGAACCCATCAGTTGGGTACCTGGAGCCTGCCCCGAGCCCGACCAAGAACCCACCCAGAGCCTTACCGAGAACCCACCCCGATCCCTACAGAGAACCCACCCCAAGCCCTACAGAGAACCGACCCTGAGCCCGACCAAGAACCTACCCCGAGCCCTACAGAGGTACCCCAAGCCCGAGAGCCCACCCAGAGCTTGACAACCGAGAGCTAACCCTAAGCCCTACCAAGAACCCACCCCCAAGCCCTACCAAGAACCCAGCCCCAAGACCTACCAAGAACCCACCCCCAAGCCCTACTAAGAACCCACCCGAAGCCGGACAGACACTCACCTGGAGCCTGAACAGTCAAACACCCAGAGCCCGCCAGTTTAGTAAACCGGAGCCTGCCAGTTGAGTGAACTGGAACCCGTCAGTTGAGTACCTGGAGCCCGCCCCGAGCCCTACCGAGAACCCATCCCGATCCCTACAGAGAACCCACCCCGAGCCCTACAAAGGTTCCCCAAGCCCGAGAGCCCATCCCAAACCCGAAAGAGCCCACCCCGAGCCTGACCGGGAGTCAACCCTAAGCCCTACCAAGACCCCACCCCAAGCCCTACCAAGACCCCACCCCCAAGCCCTACCAAGACCCCACCCCAAGCCCTACCAAGACCCCACCCCAAGCCCTACCAAGACCCCACCCCCAAGCCCTACCAAGACCCCACCCCTACCAAGACCCCACCCCCAAGCCCTGCCAAGACCCCACCCCCAAGCCCTGCCAAGACCCCACCCCCAAGCCCTACCAAGACCCCACCCCCAAGCCCTACCAAGACCCCACCCCCAAGCCCTACCAAGACCCCACCCCCAAGCCCTACCAAGACCCCACCACCAAGCCCTACCAAGACCCCACCCCCAAGCCCTACCAAGACCCCACCCCAAGCCCTACCAAGAACCCACCCCCAAGCCCTACCAAGAACCCACCCCCAAGCCCTACCCAAGAACCCACCCCCAAGCCCTACCAAGAACCCACCCCCAAGCCCTACCAAGAACCCACCCCCAAGCCCTACCATGAACCCACCCCCAAGCCCTACCAAGAACCCACCCGAAGCCGGACAGACACCCTCCTGGAGCCCGAACAGTCACCCACCCGGAGCCCGACCAGTCAAACACCCGGAGCCCGCCAGTTTAGTAAACCGGAGCCCGCCAGTTGAGTGAACCGGAGCCCGCCAGTTGAGTGAACTGGAACCCGTCAGTTGAGTACCTGGAGCCCGCCCCGAGCCCTACCGAGAACCCATCCCGATCCCTACAGAGAACCTGCCCTGAGCCCTACCAAGAACCCACCCCGAGCCCTACAGAGAACCCACCCTGAGCCCGACCAAGAACCTACCCCGAGCCGTACAGAGGTTCCCCAAGCCCGAGAGCCTATCCCGATCCCGAAAGAGCCCACCCCGAGCCTGACCGGGAGCCAACCCCAAACCCTACCAAGAACCCACCCCCAAGCCCTACCAAGAACCCACCCCCAAGCCCTACCAAGAACCCACCCCCAAGCCCTACCAAGAACCCACCCCCAAGCCCTACCAAGAACCCACCCCCAAGCCCTACCAAGAACCCACCCCCAAGCCCTACCAAGAACCCACCCCCAAGCCCTACCAAGAACCCAGCCCCAATACCTACCAAGAACCCACCCCAAGCCCTACCAAGAACCCACCCGAAGCCGGACAGACACCCACCTGGAGCCCGAACAGTCACCCACCCGGAGCCCGACCAGTCAAACACCCGGAGCCCGCCAGTTTAGTAAACCGGAGCCCGCCAGTTGAGTGAACCGGAGCCCGCCAGTTGAGTGAACCGGAGCCCGTCAGTTGAGTACCTGGAGCCCGCCCCGAGCCCTACTGAGAACCCATCCCGATCCCTACAGAGAACCCGCCCCAAGCCCAACCAAGAACCCACCCCGAGCCCTACAGAGAACTCACCCTGAGCCCGACCAAGAACCTACCCCGAGCACTACAGAGGTACCCCAAGCCCGAGAGCCTATCCCGATCCCGAAAGAGCCCACCCCGAGCCTGACCGGGAGCCAACCCCAAACCCTACCAAGAACCCACCCCCAAGCACTACCAAGAACACACCCCCAAGCCCTACCAAGAACCCACCCCCAAGCCCTATCAAGAACCCACCCCCAAGCCCTACCAAGAACCCAGCCCCAATACCTACCAAGAACCCACCCCAAGCCCTACCAAGAACCCACCCGAAGCCGGACAGACACCCACCTGGAGCCCGAACAGTCACCCACCCGGAGCCCGACCAGTCAAACACCCGGAGCCCGCCAGTTTAGTAAACCGGAGCCCGCCAGTTGAGTGAACCGGAGCCCGCCAGTTGTGTGAACTGGAACCCGTCAGTTGAGTACCTGGAGCCTGCCCCGAGCCCGACCGAGAACCCACCCAGAGCCCTAACGAGAACCTACCCTGATCCCTACAGAGAACCCACCCCGAGTCCTATCAAGAACCCACTCTGAGCCCTACAGAGAGCCCACCCTGAGCCTGACCAAGAACCTACCCCGAGCCCTACAGAGGTAACCCAAGCCCGAGAGCCCATCCCGAACCCGAAAGAGCCCACCCCGAGCCTGACCGAGAGCCAACCCTAAGCCCTACCAAGAACCCACCCCCAAGCCCTACCAAGAACCCACCCGAAGCCGGACAGACACCCATCTGGAGCCCGAACAGTCACCCACCCGGAGCCCGACCAGTCAAACACCCGG